TCAAATCACGGATCAAATTGTGCTGTTCTTCGGCTGCATCCTTCAACTCTCGGATCGCTCCTTGCTGGGTGTGGATAATCTCGTTCTGGTCCTTAATTGCTTCCCTTAGCTCTTGAACCACGGTGCGGTACGCGCCCAGCAGCTCCAAGGCTGACTGCAGCGTCGTCGTTTCCTCGCGATTGCTGCTGTTTCTCTCGACGGCCACGGACGCGTCATTGGTTTCCGCCGCCGCTGCCCGCGTTGTCGCTCTCGTGCCGTACCGACTGGTTTTATTCGGCTCTTTCGCGTTGTCATCCAGCTTCCGTTTCATGGTTCGACGCCCCGCTGGCGTCACCGACCCGCGGCGCGACCCCACCAGGGTCCCCGCTCGAGCTGGCGAGCTCATCATGGGAGCAGGCCAACCACACAACAATTCCAGTTAAGAAATAATAAAGATTAGTTGATTTCTCGTCTCTCCCTGTACACTGGGGTCCCTCAGGAAGGCTCCTGCTATCCCGGTACAGCTCTGGTTAGAAACGGTACCCGCGAGTCCAGCTTGCACTGTTGTACGCCGGCCGGATTATTGGCTGCTCATTTCTCGTGTCGAGACGCCACACCTGGAGCAGGGCGTAGTCGCATACAGAGAACAGGCCCCGAGCCAGATACGCGACGGGCGACTCTAGGAGCTGAGCCTTCGGAGTGACAGTGCAAGGTTCTACACGTCCCGAAGTCTGACAACGGCCACCGCAAGATACGATCGCAGTCTATCCCGGCCCGGTGTTTCATGTCCAGCCCGCCAGGGCGATGAAGGCAACACTCGGCGCAAAATTCGTACTGTCAAGCATCGAACGCGATGGCATCAAGACAAACGGGTGCTTGGCATCTGGGCTGGTGGATGATGTGATAGAGCCGCAGACAACATCTGTCAACCGGATCAGCAGCGGCACTGCCGAATTGACGTGGCGTGATACTCTAATTGACTTCATGGCACCGCTGATTCGGTACCATAGTCCAGGCTTGGACGGCAGCCTTGTCTTGACGCAGGCCGGGAACAAAATAAGGTTCCTCTGGTCAGAGGGAATACCTACGAGAGCACACACGAACCATGCAGCTCCGTGTTGCATCGGGCCTGAATTGAAACCCCGGCTGCTGCTACTTGGCGCTTTGATCAAGGGGCAGAAGCGAACGGCTGGCAATTGTAACTGCCGTCCCCCATTCACACTCGTCTCCTCTGTGGAGCGTTGATAGTGTCTGGCGTTTCCCCCGCGCCCTGAGGCAATTATATCGAACCTTGAATGCATTGCCTGGATCGGCGTAAATAGTCGTGTCCGCGTCCGTTCGCCGCCACGGGCGACCAAGTTAGCAAGCCTCCACCCATGCATTTGTCACTTGGGGACAGGCGCACGGACGATCCCGATTCTCGTCTTGTGCCGGTTCTGTGCGGAACGGAAAGCTCGTTGGTAGTTCCGATCATTTGCGGGGCTGTTTCGGGGCCCCTCGTAGAGTTCCATTCAGGTCGACGCCGCGAAACAAATGCTTGTGGCCCCTAGGGGCGACTTGGTCCCAAACATGGCGGGAGGCTTGGGTGCACAGGGAACAGGATGGAGTTCGTAGGAACTTGGAAGTACAGGCCAACGAGAGGTAGGGGCCGACCGGGCAGCCGTCTGCACCTCTCCCGAGGTGGTCAGTCGAGCCACCCGCCGGACTCCACGGCTTGTCCTGCACGGCACAGCACAGGTGCTCGGCGTCATGCAGACCAATGGCCCGGTCCACGCCACTGTCGATTACAGCATTTAGGCGATGCTAATCTTGTGCCTCTGTCCATCGTGCCGCAAGTGGGAAATGATCGCCAGATGGGTTGCCGTTCACTTCTGCGCCGCGCCAAACGGCCAACGACCGTCTCTGACGCTTGCCCCCGGAGTCGTTCATCTGCGCCAGGGACCGGGCAGCATGTTCTCACGCGCCAAATGTTCGCTGTGGAGAGCGCTTAGCATCGTGCCGAGGTGAAGGCCCCTCACAAGGGTTAGCGAAGCGTGGTGCCGCCGATAGTCTGTGCAGATGGAGTATTCCTAGGCTTCAGAGCTGTTGGCTGGCGCCCTTCAAGCCGCGAGATCCGTTAGAGATTTGCGCCTCGCGGCAGTAGGAGCAAGCCCACGCTGCGATGCGAGGCTGCGGGCATTGTGGTGAGAGCTAGATTCGTTTTCGAGCGCCGACTGGCACCTCGCGTTTCACTCCCAGGCTCCCAAAGGGGCAGCGTGCTGGGAGGCCCAACCAATCAGGGGCGGTGAAGCTCCCTCTTTTGGATTCCTGGCCACGCTGGGTGAGGTGACGAGTCCTGGAGGGTTGTGTGCCAGAAAGGGCATGGTGGGCAGTGGGCAGCTTGAATTCGCGATCCCCTGACAACAGGGTTGTTGGGACGTGGGGTGCCCGCAGACAGGTGAAGCCGCGCAGCAGCGTTTGAGCCAGCGAGACAAGGGAACTGCTTGCAGCCCAGTCAGTACAGTCGTATGGAGCACAGGTTCCCAACTCGAGACTGCCACTTTCCGGCTAGTAGTAGTCGGCGAGTCGCCCATTGAGGCTAAAAGGAGAGAAAAGCTAGTTAGAGACTGGAGCAAAAGTCGGCGAAGCGGAAACGTTCGTCGTGGGCGTTGTGATGTGCGTTTGAGATTGCCGCAAACACCGTCGTCCTTGTGCAACATCGACAACTCTGGCCGGCGCGACTTGGCGATGACATGACCAGGGATGGGCACTCCGTAAGCCAGCATCAGCACCGGATACTTCGAAGCCAACCGCCTAGCAGGAGCCGGGCCGAAGGCCATTGGTGGTTTGGGGAGGACACGGTGACTGCAGCTCGCCTCGCCGTGCCAGACCAGGCGGCCGCAGAGCGCGCCGTGCGGGTTTCCAAACACGGCTTGCCCCCCAGCTGTGACCAGGCATCGCGAGACCAAATTTGCCTCGTCGCGCGTGCGGCTGGCTCCAGCCCGCCATGAGCATCGTAGGATCCTTGCGAGCAGAAGCTTCCCGGTCGCCCGCACACTCTCCCATCCCTGCCCCTGGCCGCAATGGGGCTTGGTGCCGAGCTCCATGAAGGGTGGAGGCACCACATCGGCGGCTTGCTTGGCCCGCCATCTGTCTGCCACGTCGATCGGGACCTGTGGGAGTCTGCCGCTGCTCCAACCAAATTTGGTGCGTATCCGTGCCCCTTCACGAGGAGGCCCATCGTATCGGGCGGCATTGAGCAGTCAAACGCGGCGGCCGGTCACCAACGCTTTCAAGTGTCATGGCGGCGGCTGACATTCGCGGCCGCAGATGGCTCGGCTCTGGCGCTGAAACTCCCCGATCCTGCACATCATATCAGCGTCAGCGCGACTCGGACGATGCATCGTGCTTGACAGCAGCCGTGCGCCGCATCTTCGACCCATCACACACCTTAAGGCAGCCCCCCCGGCAGGCGGCGGGTCGACGGGCCTGTTGTGTTTCGTGGGGCTCCTGGCGAAAAGGTCATTTCCAGTCGGTAATGATGGTGCCGTTTTCCTGGGGAGGGTGAAATAAGGCTGGTCTATCACAACCCAAATCCAGCAGCGGCTTGCGCCCGCCGCCGAGGGCCCCCTGGTCGGCCCCGCTGACTGGAGGCGGCCGGTTGTCGTTCGTGCGCGGGCGTTGTGCGAGTGAAGACGGTACCAAGTAGAGTGCGAGGAGGTACCTAGGTAGGTATGCTTGTAGCCGCCGTGCCTTGTGTTGTTTGCACTGCACAGTCGGACTCGCTGGCTGTGGATTTCGTGTTTCTGTCACAACGACGCCTCCTCGCCGCCTCTCTTCTTTTTTTTTCTGTAGACTTCTCTGGTCTTTCCTTCCCTTTTCTTTCCTATTTTCCAGGTGGGCAAGTCTACGCGATCGTTCCCTCATTTCTTTGGCAGTGGCGGTAGCCGTACGCGACTTCCTCAAATCAACTGATACAATCAGTCTTGTTGGCACTCGCTTTTCCTTCACCGCCGTTGTCTTCCGTCTTTCAACCAAGCATCCCGTTACCTCTCGCTTCGACGTCATTCTTATCTTTCTTCATATTCTTTGCAACGGGACAGTCCTTGTTCACTCGCGCTCAATAGACGCTGCCGTCGAGTTCGCTGTTGCCTTGCCGGCCTGTTAGTGTCGCTTCGCTGAGTATCAGCCGGACATCCGTCTTACTCGCGGCCTCCGCAGTGAATAGCTCACATCAGCCATGGTAAAAGTCCACGGCATCTAACGGCAGCCGAAACTCTCCATTACCTCCCCCGGGCATCGAGATCAGCAAGGACTTCCTCAACCGCTTTCATTTTGGTGGCGTACAAGACACACTAATATCGAGTCTCTGGTGCAACACACTGGCGGCAATCGCAACAATACCTGCGCTTGAACCTCGCGTTCGGCACCACGCAAATGGCTTCCAAGACGAGCGGCCCTCTGGGCAGCGTCGTAGCTTTCGAGGGTCGCCCGGATACCATTTCCACTCAGCTGCGACTTCTTCCGACATCGTCGCAGGTGCTAATTCTGCCGAGCGTGCGATGCTATCTGCCAGCAGAAAACCCTGAGCAACCGTTTGATGCTCGCGCGTACGTGCGACAAGTTCACGACGCCCTAGTGGCCCGCAATGACGCCGCAAGAGCCTTCCTACAAGGCTCTACGCCTTCCAACAAGCGGCTCGTCTTCATGAACGGTGGCACCCCAAGTGCCCAAGCGCTCTGCATCAGGACCATCATGACGCATGAGACTGGTGGCAACAAGGCAGAGGCTGGTGCAGTCTTCGACGACTTGATAAAGGATGGGTTGGCTGGACTTGAGCATAACAGAAATGCGAGTCATAAGAGAAACACCTTCGGATACAGCCAGTATGGCTCGGACCTCGGCGATCTCGAAGATCCCATAACAAGGGCGATGCGAGCCGCCGACGCACTCGACCGCCAGACTGCCAACTTGCAGCCCGCCGAGGGTCTCGACCTGGCCTTGTTCACGCGACAGCGCAGCTCAAGCTTGCCCATGTACGGATATTCAGACGAGTTTGGTGATGCCGCCCCATTTTTTGTTTTCGGAGCTCGGAGGGAGAGCCAGGCATCTGAGGCCGGCATGGCCCCTGCGACCCCCAAGACTCCCAGTCTCACTGTCGCGCAGCGCGAGGAGCCAATCCAACGGTTGAATCGCCTCGTCCGCCTCTCCACAACATCATACCCTAATTCCCCCAGCTGTGTCGGAGAGACTTACCAGCCGAAACCCTCTCAAGAACGATCCGAGGCCGATATCCCATCCCCAGTGTCTGATGTCTTCAGTATTCGCACGCAAGACAACGTCATCTATGGCGAGGCTTCGCTTCTAGACGTGCGCTCCTCTATATGTAGGGGCCCGGTGACGAGGGTGAAGTCTTTGGATAGGATTTACCCCTCGAGCCCCAAGTTTCGAGACCTCGGTATACCATCAGAATCCTGGCTTGCCGAGCCAGAAACTCCCAAGGCATCCCGCCCTCAGTCTTTGATGGTGATCGCCAGCGACAGAGATGGTACAATTGGCCGGCTAAGCACCATCGAGCAACCCAGGACGGTCATCGTGCGATCAAGGCTGCCCGTTGTGCAGATGGCCCCTGTTCCAGAGAACAAAAAAAGAGTCAAGAAGCCCAGCCGTGCTAGCTCAACATACATAGACCGTGGCACGGATGCCGTCACCAGCCCGACGCTACAGTTTCAACCGGTCTTTACCTGCACAGAGGATCTGGTTGTCTATTTGAAAGACGGCAGTCCGGATGGTGTGCTGGAAGCTGCAATCAACGCCTTCAAGGACGGACGCTACCCTTTGCTCTCGCACTCTCCGACAGCCTCAGAATGCGGCCATGCGGCCAAGTCTTTGCCTGGCACGCCCGACTTTGATTCACCGAGAGACCAAGAGACATCCTCTATCAGAGTGTCGGAGGAGAATACAGAGGGTCTCCAAACGGCACCAACGTCTGCGAGTGGAGAGGACTACGACCCATTCGCCTATATGCAGCCAACGTGGCAGCCCCGGAAATTGTCACTTGTTGCGCCGAAAGTAACGATTGTTCGCCCTCCCACGCCGATCCAGACGCCACCGCCGAACGTCACTGCCGTCGAGCAGGAGCAAAAGTTTCACGAGTTTACCGTTGCCGCGAACCAGACTGCCGTGGCAGTCCAGAACTCGTTGAGATCCATTCTTGGGGAGTATTTCCCTCCAGACACGGAAGGCTATCACCAATTCCAGTTTTCCCTGCTGCCCGAACTCGACGGCATGTGGAAACCAATATTCCGTACCTTTGACCCGGAGAGCCCGCAATTTGGTGATGGGAGAGTCCATCAGATACTCGCCATCGGGTCCCAGCAAGGCGTCAAGAAGGAATACTCGTCGGCGATCACGGGGCGACTGGAAAAGCTGGGCAGCAAGTCCAGTGATCTCGGTCGCGCTGACAGGCTTGACTTTCGGTATGTCCCACAGCACACTGGGCTAGCAACGCAATCGCGTGAGGCTCTACATGATACTGATTGCCAATGTAGTTATCTGCTGGCCAACGCCATGCAAGCCTTTACGGCTCAGCCACTTGCCAACCAGACGTCTGATAACCCCTTTACCAACCCTTATTTGCTGGCGACTCTCATAGTCCCTCACTTGGAAACATACCTGGCTCTGCATTCGGAGGTTCGGTACCTGTTGTTGCAGTACCCGCCTGAGCACTTCAAGACGGTCTTGGCGCTCCAAAAGCTGGTTGGAGTCGAGTTGATGAAGGTGGCGCAGATCGTTGACTCCGACAGCAAAGACAACTTACCCTTTACTCACATTCGAGGGGCCTCAATGGGCACAAAGACCGAAGCCAGCCCAGCCAAGCGGTCGTCGCCTTCGCCGAGATCGTCTTTCGACACTCCAGTGTCGAAGGCCAACTATCTCCTGACATCAACGGCTTCCGACAAAGATATTGCAACCTTTGTATCCACAGTTTGGAATATTTTAATGGACGACTCTTGCTCCGAAACCACCGAGCCAGTCGCAGAGAAGGTTTCAAAACGCAAAGCAAAACCATCACCCCTCCGACTCAAGGAGAACCTCAAAGCTTTCCCGGCGGTCGGGCCGCAGAGCCCACTGTCTCCGAGGACAGTGACGATTCTGCAGCCTGGCCCCGCTTCTGCTGCATCGACCTTGCGACCACCATCCGCATCGGGAACGGTCAAGACGTTTCGATCTATTCGGAGCCGGCAGAGTCGGAGGGCCAACGGCAATTATGCACCATCTCATACCGAGACCGCCTCAATCATGACATATGATCCCAACGAGGATAGCGACTACGACGTTGAGGAACGCAGACTCATGCCTCTGTTCATGAGGAAGAGCCCAACTCTGAAGCCAAGTAGTCGCAAGGCGCTCAAGTTCCTTGGCCTGGCTTGACGCTCTTAACTCGTCGCTTCGGTTGTCGGTGAGATGAGGACTGTGACTACAGAGGTCGTGCGGGTCAGTTTTCCATCAATCAAAAGAGTCGGGCGCCGTTGTTTCAATCATCAACACTCATTAACTATTTCCTATTTCATACGCTCCCCCTTTCTCGTGGAACCTTTCTCATGGCTATCCTTCGCCGTCTCGGGCGCGTGTGGAGCAATGTGTTTGTTTTTATCTGCCACTACCGTTGGCACGGGTCTCATTTTAGGGGATATAGAAGCGGGCGTATTGAATACCCAGGGTAAATGGCATCGGCAGGGAACGCCCGCTGAACGAGGCAAGCAAATACGAGCATTTTATGCGCAATGGACAATGTGGTACAGAATGCGCACACACCACTGTTTATTTCTGCGAAGCCAATGCTCTCTAAGCAAGACGTTGCCTAGAGCGCGATGTTCCAAGCTCCTCGTGTCGAGTACATGCACCCAGGTTAAGCCGTTGGGCATGTCCATGCTGCGGTGATCAAGTTCGTCCATTGGATAGACTCGTTGGTTGGGTCGGCAGGGAGGGAAGCCGAGTGGCGGCTACGATCCCGATGCGAAGGGACAAGACACGCGAGGCCAAAAACCGGCTTCCGCGGCAAACAGCCGCTCACCGCTGCATCAAGACAACAAATGTCGCGGATACCTACACTACATACACACACCGGCTTATGTACCAAGATACCAAGAGTGTGTGCGCGAGGAAGAAACACGGATACATGCACACGTTAATCACACGCACGTTGCGCACAGGGGCAAGCAGGGCCGCCGTCGACCCTTCACAGCAGCATAAGGAGAGATGTAAAGACAAAAAAGCAACCCTTTATTAATGCCCGTTTTCGCAGTGCAACAAAAAAGCAAAGCAAGCAAACAGAAAAGCCAACGACGGGGGGTCCGCGATCGCCCCCTTGGTCGACCCGCGCACAGTCCAGCAGAAGGCTCTCGCTGCAGAGCGGACGCACCGCGCTGACGTGCACACTAAAACAAGGAGAGAACCAGAGAAGAGAGAGCGTCGGGGGAACACAGACAGCGGGAAGTCGAAACATGCTACCATCCGTTGGCGGTTCTGCCAGCAAGCCAGCCCCCTTTGCACCCTGAGCCCGCAGGCGAGGTGCCCACGACCCCAAGAGACGCCCGCGCGCATGTCGTACTCGTCCGGATCCCCCACTTCATATGAACCACGTCCAGATCCCCTCACAACCCATCACTTGTGACCCGTCGAAGTCGTGTCGTACAAAGCATAGCGTGGCTTGTCATGGCGCGAGGCGGCGGGGGAAGAGCGAAATCCAAGTGGACATGATTCAGTCTATGCGCAGAAAGGGAGAGAACTGAAAATGGGAATAGAGAAAAACAGTCATAATGTGCCTGCCCAGTCATTTCCGTGCCCTTCCTCCGTCCATACTCCGACACCCGACCTCGGGAACGCGTTTAGCAGCAGCTGTTGTTGGACGAAGAGCCGACGCCCTGGCCCTGGCCGACTTGCACGCTCGGCTTGGTGTTGTTGGCAGTCGTCGTGCCCATCCGCTCCTTGATCTGGCGGGCCATGGTGAGGAAAGCCTGCTCAACGTTGCTCGCGTTCTTGGCCGAGGTCTCCAGGAAGGGAATGCCCAGGCTGTCGGCGAATTCCTGTATATGGCCGTCAGCCAGCGCGAAACAGAGCGCACCGCCGCATCGCTGCCTGGCGACAAGCATGCCACGCGACGAGACTGTTTCGCAATAACTCACCTTGGCAACCGTGTACTCAACAACCTTCTTGTCGGACATATCGCTCTTGTTGCCCACGAGCAGCTTGTTGACGCCCTCGGTGGCGTACCGATCGATCTCCTGGAGCCACTGCTTCACGTTGTTAAACGAGTCCATGTCGGTGACATCGTAGACGACGCAGATGCCGTGGGCACCGCGGTAGTAAGACGAGGTGATGGTTCGGAATCGCTCTTGACCGGCGGTGTCCCACTATCGGCGAGGCTCCGGGTTAGTGCTTAGGTCTCTTGAATTTGAGTCGTCTCGGATGGCTTCCACTTACGATCTGCAGCTTGACCGTCTTGCCGTCGAGCTCTATCGTTCGGATTTTCTGCAAGCGATATTAGCAGGTGGTGACAACGGACTGGGCGCGGGCCAGCGACATACGAAGTCGACACCGATCGTGGAGATGTAGGACTCAGTGTAGGTATCATCGGCGAAACGCAGCAGCAAGCAAGACTTGCCGACACCGGAATCACCGATGAGGAGCAGCTTGAAGAGATAGTCGTATCTGGAGAGGTGGACGGTCAGCAGCTGGTCCACGGCCACTTGAGGCATCGCGATGCCGCTCCGCCGGCGATGCGCAGAGACGAGCGGCAGGTACAGCGGTACACAGCGGGTTGGCGGCGGGTTGTACTCTGGCGAACTCTGTCAGCATGGTCCATTCGGGTCAGGACGCCCGTCGCAAGGGGACAGGAGGCGCAGCGTACCACTCGGGGTTCATATTGACGGCGGCGATGATTGCGACGTCGATGAAGCGTGCTGGATGGATGGGGAGCCAAGCGGACAGTAGGAGGTGGGAGAGCGATGGCGGGTTGCGGGATGTCGCGGATGTTGATGGTGGAGTGTCAAAGGAGCGTAGCGTACGGGGCAGGCAGGCCGCGGGAGATGGTGGTGGTGAGGTCGCGGGTACGTCAGAAAAGGCGAGCCTCTGAGGCGTGGTTGGGAGGCGGCGGTGGGTGAGTGACTGAGGGAGCAGCAGCCAGTCCGGGAGGGGGCAGCTGACAGGTCACGTGTTACGGTACCTTGCCTGCTCCCATGCGCCACAGTCTCCAGTGCTGGGAACCGCACCGCGAACAACCAGCGCATCTCAGCAACTGTGGCGACCTGCACCTAACCAGACAAATGCAGGTGAGGCGGCTCTCTGACACAACCGTCGGGGCATCCACCCGGCCATGACGCAGAATTCTTCCGAAGGGGTCAACTGATCTTGCCTCGCAAGGGACAGTGGTCACGATGCCCTGGCCTAGGTACCTTGCCTATAATACCCGGGCAGTGGTTCGCACTGCGACGCTAGGGGTCCCTCCTCAGCATGCAGCACTGTGGTGACATGTGACAGCTGACCCTCCTCTGCGCCCAGTGACCTCTCCTCTCCACCAGCGCTCTTCGTTCCTCTGCAGCACCTATTCAGGCTCTGCCTCGCTCTCGACGTCTGCCTTGATTGCTGTCTGCCTGGATATCGTAACAGGGTTTGCGAATGCAGCTGCCCAGTCTTGCCTTATCCCCTAGCTGTCGCAACCTCCAAGTGCCTACCAAAGGTTCCATCTCGGAGTGGTGGATGCCAACATACGGAAGCGCTGTCATCCCCTACCGTCCAGTGGCTGCTCCCCTGGAAGCCGCCTGGACGCGCCCCCAGAGTCCACCAAATGGCGGGCCTCCCCGATGGGCCACCCGGGGCGCTTTGGGTGCTCACGCTCAGCCGTCGCGACCCGCTGCCCCGGGAGAAAGTCACTGGGCTGCCGAGATAACCATGCCTGACTTTCTTAGGCCAAAAATCGCCCCTCCAGCTCGCCGGGGGATCATACATCGTCACTCACCTCCCTCCATGTCGCAATCCATATCTCTCTGCTGCAGCAGTAGCTCTCCTCCTACGGCACCACCTCACGAGTGTCAATGAGGCGCACCCGTCCGCTGCGCTGAAGCTCCCGCCCCGCCGCAAATGGCCGCGCCGCTGCTGCGCAATGCTCTCAAGGGCTCGTCCCTCATCATCGTCGCCGCGCCGGCCGCCGCCTCCCGGAGCTTGACTACGGCCTCGAGCTCTGAAGATGCGGGCGCGGCCAACGTGAGGGCGGCGCTGGCTCGCCCAACAGCCGGGAGCTCTGAGCTCTTAAGCACGACAACGACCACGACCACGACGACAACAACTACAACAACGTCACGAACTTCACAAACATCACCGCCGGAAGTGCTTCTGCGACCACCACCACCGCCTGCGCCTCAGCACCTTGCTAGACCATGCTTCTTTGATTCAACGGGAGTACGCTGGGTTGGCAGCAACCAAAAAGACGACGGCTCAGATCCTAACAGGGCGAAGCTGGGCAGGAGTGAGTCTTGAGCAATTGCCGACAAGCCACTGCAAGCAGTCGCTAACGCTTCCATTTTGTTCCAGCCCTGCGCATACTCCAAGAGCGCATGCCCACACTGCTCCAGTCGCCTCTCCCGCAGGATATACTCGCGCCCAACATCTCGCTACACCTCTTCCCGACGACGCACCCGCATCTCCCCACCGTCTCCGGCCGAGTCGCGTACAACGCCGCCCTCTGGACCTCCCCGATCGCCTGGAACCGAGTCCCCATTATTGGCAATGTCAAGCTCGAGATCCTCGCCGAACGCGTCACCTCGGAGCCCATGACCTTTGTGCCCCGGCGTCCTGGCGCCCGCCCCGAGCAGCTCGTCGTCCGTTGGTGTGAGAAGCGCCGCGGCTCCCCAACGACGGCATCGGGGTCGGAAACGGCCCGTCCCGAGTCCGGCGGCATCGCGCGCTCGCTCTGGCGCGGCCGCGCCGGCGTCGACCCCAACAAGGCTTTCACCGGCCTCTTCATCTTCGACTTCGACGCTGAGGGCAGGGTCCTGGCGCACACTATCGAGCAGGCCCAGGAGGGCGGGACCTGGGAAAGGGGCATGGGAGCCAAGTTTGTCGGCCTGACGGATTGGCTGCTCGGCGGCATGAAGAACCCCAACGACCCCCCTCCGTTGCCCATGTTTGAGGACGCGAGGAGGCGGCAATGTGACTGAGCCGGCCGCACGCCTGCTTGAACAAGCTCACCTTGAGGTAGGATAATCGCCGGAGATAGACCGAGACAGGGCTGCCATACCATTGTTTCAGGCGGTGGTGATTGGTGCAAGCTCTCTGTTCCCAACGGACTCGCGTGAAGCACAATGGCTCTCTCATCGGCAACTATATCTCTATCCACTCCGAGTAAGAGTGGTGTACACTATTGGGATGAGAAGATCTCCGCCCACTGTTTGGAATACTTGTACGTTAAAACATGCACGCCAGATAAGAGCAACAGGCGCAAGCGATCAAAATCCAAGCCCGAAAGATTGGCTTTTTCTCATTCATCGAGCATTCGCGTAAAAACAAGTGTCATGACATGGGTGACTGCTCAGCTACTCGTAGTTCATGCTGTGCCCCCGTCGCGGAGACTCGTTCCAGATTGTGTGAGAGCCATTCAAGTCGAAACCACCCTCGTCTGCGATGAGGGGATGGTTTCCCTGACCGGGGGAACATTTCACAATATTCTGTTCCCCCGCGCCAGTTCCGGCAACTTGCCAAGAGCAGCGCCGCCGCGGCTTTAAAATGCCCATGTCTGCTGCCGAAACAACGCCGTTCGATGTTGGCACCCGCCACCCATCGTTTCATGCTTCACTCAGCGCGTTTCGCAGGCGTCCAGATACCTGCAGCCCCTCCTCTCTCATCCAAGGACAATCTCTCCTTGGCTCTCGCCCTCAAAGCCCATCTTTGCGAGCTTCTTGAGGCGCGACTTATCCCGGGCCTTCTCAGCGGCCTTCTTCTCGTCCGCAAGCCTCTTGACGAGCTCCAGCTCTGCGGGCTCGTAGCCCGGGGGCGGATCGTCGTCCCTGTCGAGGTCGATCTCGCCCAGGAGGAGGACGTTCTCGCCGCGGACGAGAAAGATGCCGTGCGAAATGTCGGCGTAGAGGCCCCGCGGGGCGGCGTCAGAGATGGCGCTGTCCGGGTTGGTCGCGAAGATGCGTTCCGTCGTCGATTGTAGCACAATGTTAGCTGTCGAATACGTCAGCCCGGTTCAGTCGTCGACAAATTGATCAGGAATAGCATGAAGGGTGGTGGCCCGCACCAAATTGATCCCAGCTTCGCAACACACCGATAAGCTTCCTGCCATCGCGCAGAACGACCATGAGCTTCTCTGTAGTTCCCCAACCCGTCAGTTATCAAGCCCCGACGGTAAACATCGAAGGCCCCTCCCTCGAAGGGAGGATGGTGGGAAACGATGGGACGAGCAGCGTACTGTCTGTGAGATCCAAGAGCTGTGCGGCCGTCGTGAACATCTGCGGCGGAAGCTGGGGAGGCGGCTGGGACGGGCCGCCGGGCTGCGAAGGGCCCTGGGGCGGAGGAGCCGCCGGAGGGGCGTCGGAGATGGAGAGGTTTTCCATGTCTCTATATCATGGAGCAGTTGCCGTCGTATCGTCTAGGGAATTTCGCCGTGCCAGCCTGGTTCCATGAATCGGGTCCTTGCAAGCGCCTGCTTATAAGACCATGGTTGGGGGTGGCAGGCGCGCGGTGGTCGATGGGATTGGAGTCGGAGGGTTGAAGATGCGGGATCCAGCCCGGACGCGGCGTTCACCCATGCAAGCAAGCGGTGGTCGCCCCAGCTATCGATAAGCTCTGCCTCACGTGACGCTTGTACTGGTAACTCCAACAACTGCGAGCGAGGTGGAGGAGAAGATCCACCCCGCATCGACTCCAACCAGCCTGCCTACGTCAGCGCAGGAGGCCCAATTTCTGGCAGGAATTGAGCAGAATGCGACGCGGGGCAGCCGGAGGATCGAGGGGCAACGCCGCAACAGCGAAATGTCACCCCACCGCAGGCAATTTTTTCCACCCTCGACGGCCAGCTGCACGGTTGCGGAATCGAGCCATTGGCCACAGGAGATGTCTGGGAGTGAGCATCCGCAGGTATACAGCGGCTAGAGAATGGCCCCTAGTGATGGGGTGACTCCCAGTTCAACCCGAGAGAAGCGGCGACAGGCGGCCGGCTGTGGCCGAGCTCACACGAGCCCAGCATCTCGCCCCCTTCTTTTGCTCGTACACCCTGACGCAGAGTCGCCGAGTTGAGACGGGCCCTATGGACTCTACGTCACGCTCACAAGACCGCCTCCCATCTCACGTGAACGGCAGGGCATTGCCGCCTTGTCTATCGATGCTTGCTACCGAAGGTCTGCGTGTAGGATATGCTCACGTGCGCATGCCGACAACCAGTGCCTTGCTCGGTTTCTCTCCCCCGGCGAGTCTGCCGTCAAAAATGAGCCCGGTCTTCTCCTTGCCCTCGGTCCAAAGGAAGCCCGTCGCCCGCTGGTAATGCTATGCCGTGTGCCCGCCCCTCGTCTTTTTTTCGTCTCCCTTTGGTGTGTGCAAAACATGACGCATCAAGGGAAAATCTCTATCGTATCTCCAGCCTGCAACGCCTTGGTTTGGATGCATCATTGTCTTCCCCAGTCCCCGGAGTGATGATGAGCAGACGCGAACCTCAAATACCAGCAAATCAGTGAGGAAAAGGGATGAAAACAAAACAAATCGCCAAGATCGCCCTCCTCCTCCTATACCATGATGACTCAGTCGGCTCAACCATGATCAAGAGTGCAAAGAAAGCACCAGAACTCGTGCTCACGCCACGGGACCATGCCTTCGACGCCGCCGACTCCGGTTGTCGCTAGTCCAGCATCCACGTCGGCCGGCGGCACTGTCTTGAGGCTATACTTGGTTGATCGTGGACCGTTGTAGAGCCTCCTGTAATTCGGGCCTCGTAGCCAACTCCTGCCACGCCTGTGCGTATGTGAACCACTGGCGTTCGCGCTTGTGCTTCTCTGGCCAGTCGTCAACCTCGCTCAGAACAGTTGCCTGGTAGAAGGAGTAGCGGGCGCGGTCCTTGGTCGATTTAGGCGGCCGCTTCTCGTCAATGGTGCCCAGGTCATAGTCGATGTTGATGGTGATGCCGGCCTCCTCCCACGCCTCGCGGGTGGCGGCCTCCTGGCAAGACTCATCCGTCTCCCATCCGCCCTTGGGCAAGACCCAACCCTTGCGTCGAGTCGACTGTATTAAGAGGACGTAGTTCTGGTCCGGGCTTAGCGGGACGACGCCCGCAACAAGTCGCTCTCCCTTAGAGTTATACCCTATGTGCGCAGAACAGACTGAGGTCAGCGGGAGCCCTCGCGCTTCGGCAACGTGGTGGCAATGAGAAGCGCAGCGTGACATCCCGACGTGTTGAGGCGGCGCAGGCATTCGCCCAGAAACACAGGGATGGATGCGACAGCAAGTTGGGGGTTCTGCTGTCGCGGGGGGGAGGAAAAACTCACGTTGCTTGTTTCTGCCAACGCGAGACTGCATTGACCGTCCACCAGAGGCCCCCGAGCCTGGGCCCGACATATTCGATACCCAGGTTATGGTGTCGCGCAGGCAAGGAGCGAGACGGATCGACGAATTTGTCGAGGCGGGAGCTGAAGAACGAGGCGAAGCAGAGGGGCGGGCGACGCCGGAGCCTGCCAGCTGGTGCGCTGCTCGTGCTGTCGCTGCTGCTGCTGCTGCTTGCTGCTGCTGGTGTCGCTGCGCTGCTGGACCTCAGGTGCGCAAAATCTCACTGCCCGCTGCAGGGCAAGATTGGCGGCGTGTGCGAGGCCCAGTCGCGGGTTCTGCGGCGTTGCGGCGGGGCAGGTCAAAGAAATTGGAGATGCATTCTCGGGTATGTTTCCTGGTCCGTAGAGAGGTTGATGATGTGGAAAAGAGGAAGAGAAATGGCGAGATGGAAGCTGCAGAGCAGGCCTAGGCACCGCTCCCGGAGTGCCGGAGTTGAAGTTCAGTTTCCACGGGGGTGTAATTTTTGTGACAGAGGGGGGGAGGGGAGGGCGAGAGACCACTTCAAGCCAGGCCCGCCAGTGCACCACCACCACCTCAGGACCGCCCAGGTCGTCAGAACAGGGCGAGGGCGGGTGCTGGTGCTGGTGAGGTGCTGGTACAATCGGCGCCGGCGCTGGCGCTGGCGTGGTCTGCTGGTGCCACTGAGGTGAGCCTGGTCCTGGTACTTCGCGGTCGTGCTAGCAGTGCCCAGGTGGGCTGGAGGCGCCGTGTGTTGGAGGGGCGGCCGACCAAGTACTGCGACTTTGCAGTGGGAGGCGTCGGAGCCACGGGTGGAGGGGCAGTGGAGGCGGCCGGGCGCTGGCGAGGTGAGAGAGGTGTGCGTCCACTGGCGGTCCACTGGGTGGAGGTGAAGGACAAGCAGCCTCGCGGCCGATGGTGCAGGTACAGTGACCAGCGGCAGGTCTTCAGTTCCTGTTCCAGGCCCGCCCCGCCGGAAAAGTGGCAGCAGCTCGCGGCAAGCCCCTCGAGCGCTCCGAGTTGAGTTGAGTTGAGTTGAGTTGGGGCGAGGCACTTGCCGGACAGCTAATAGTGCTCGAGTCGTACTAACGCAAGAACAGGCACAGTAGACACCTGTCCCTACTTGGGTACCTTGCTTTCCCTCGAGACGCAGCCTTCAGCACCCTAATGGCGCCTAGTCCAATACTTTGCGAAGTTGTGGATGGACGTACGGGGGCGCGCGAGGCGTACGGGCAAAACCTCAGGCCGTCAGGAGTCGAGCACCTCTTCCTCAAGGCAGCCTTGTTGCACGTCTGTTGGTGGGCTCCGGCGAGCAGTTGGTGGAACCTCCAACGAGCCAGCAGCCCTGCTCAGCAGGTTGGCAGGCCTTGTCCCCTCGAGCAACTCAGCAGATTGGGGGCAAAGTTTGTCCGCCACGCCTGATCTGCTGATGATCAGTCAAGTTCGGTGAGATGGGTGCTTGGCGAATTTGCTTGAACACGGCGACACCGTGGGCCCTGGTCGCGGCGACGGCAGAAGAACGTGGATTTCGGTGCAACGGCGGGAACCGTCCAGCCGGACTTTTTTTTTTCTCGAGCCTTGCGCGCGCGACGGTCACGATGCGAGAGGCTTCCGGTGAGAGGGGTGTGGCTACACGCCCAGGGTCCGCCCTCACGCGCTTCAGTCGACTCGACGTCTCAAAGAAGCTCGGCCGATTCTGGTGGCGCCTAGGCACAACTTGTACAGTGTCGACCCCGTTGCAGGAGGTGGTAGTCGCGAGAGTGGAGGCAATGGTCCCTTTGTTTGCAGGTGAATAGTCACACCATCAACTCGACGCTTGCTGAAGCTGGAGTGTCTGTTGCCAGTGAAGACGAAGTTTCGGGGCACCCGTCTGTCAAGTTATGCAGGTGTATTGCCGGGCTGGAGGGAAGCAGCCTCACGTTCAGGTGGAGGAAACAGCCTTTTCCGATTTGGTACTTTCCAGCAAACGGCTTGTCCACAGTTTGGGGAGTCAATATGTCCTTTATACTCACGGCCAAGAGACCCTTCGCCTACTTTGCCTGTCGATCTGCACACCAACCTGGCAATTCTGTCTCTGCCGCCGCTCGCATGCCGTCGGGTACGCCCGCAGGTGTCCACCCAGAGGGTAACAAAAGGCGACACGTGCAGGGCGGCTAGCGATTCGAGCTTGAGGCTCGGTCATCGGATTGAGCCAAATCCAAGGTAATCGCCTGTCGTCCTTGTGTTGCCGTTCCTCTCGGACATGTTCGCTGGACGTCAAGCCTCTCCCAACAGCGGGAGGTCACTGTGTGTCCGTACTCCGTGGTCTCCTTCACCCCAACTTGACATGTACTTCGCTCCAGCGGCTTCGACTCACTTAGGCCTCAGAGTGTGATTTCGCTGAATCGTCGCCTGGAGCAAGGCATGTTCCAAGAACCATGCTGCCAACTCGAGCAGCATACGACCCAGTGTACAGTGGGTATGTAGACGCGACGGTCTCACATGGAGTTGGGCCTGCCATTCTGGTGAGAGAAGCAGGCAGCCGGGAGAGCTGCATGACAGGCGATGCAGAGAGGCTGCAATATGCACATTGAAATGGCTGCAGCAAGACTAGCTTTTCGTCAGATCTGCAACTTCTGTAACCAGCAAGCCGGAAGGACGCTAGCATCTTGTTGGCGACGGAGAGGCAGTGGGTGCCGTGGCCTATGCCACATGCCACACCCTCTTGACAACGTCGGCGGGACGGGGAACGGCTGACGATTCCGACTCGTCCACGACATTCCATGTCCGGCATGGAGGTCGACTCATGTGAGCTGGTGCATAGGGCTCACGTCGTCAGCCGTTTGGGGGGCGAGTGCTAGGCAACCTCGGGCTGTGCGTCCATCGAGGAGGGAAACGGTTTCGACAGCTGGGGCGAGCAAGACAGAATTACTGCGCTCCTGGCTGGGCGGCCTGGATCCATCCTAGATGCGACGTGTCGGATCTTTAGCAGGTGAGTTCGCGACGTTCTGAACCTGAACGTGTCTAATCTACACTCTGCCGCTAGGTACGCCGGCGGGGCCATGCTGCAGTGGTGCCGGTCAAATGCATCAAGGAGCTCTGCGTCCGTCCACAACGATGCTGAGCTGGAGCACGTTGACACTGTTGGACACATGGCGTTGAAAGTTGCATGCAAGGCAAGCGGGCGCTGTGGGTTCTCCAAGAAGCAAATGTTCACGGCGCTGCATTGCAGGGCATGCCCTGCCCTGTAAAGACAGCGCCCCCAGTGGGTATTGACCGCAGCGCATCTCCAAAGCCGCTCTAGCCTGCGCGGCCCTCTTAACTCCAAGTCACTGAGGTATCACAGCGTTGCAGGATGGGTCGTCCGAAGTCAGAAATCACGTACAGTATCCTTACAGTCCTCCCTGCTCTGCGTATGTATTTTATGGAGCTGCAAGTGCCTTGCTTCGCTGGATCCGAGCTGTCAAGGCGTTGAGACAGATCCAACCTCGAGCTGAGGTTCGCCGCTGAAATGTTCGCGTAGGTACAGTACATCGCCCGAGGAACCACATCAACCCATTCTAGTGGCGGGGTACCCGGGGCACTTGCCTATCCGGACACTCTCTTGCACCCAACACAGCACTGTCTCTTGCCGTCGATGAGGTGAGAGGCAGGCGGCTCTGGTACGAATTTCACGCCACACACCCAACTGCCACGACAGCTCCGTGCTGCCTTGTCTTGCTCGGGCCATCACCATCACCGCAAGCTCGCTCGTCAACTTCGTTCACCTCCGCTCCGCGCCCGATCACGGCTCCCTCGCTCCCGACCCGCGTCTGGGATTGTGCTCGTCATCGCGACCTTCGGCAGGTTCTTTTTCCACGGGGACCGGCAGCACCCCGGTCGCTCGTCAGCACCCTGTCCATCGACGGCCGCGCTGTCCACGAGTCCACGACCGCGACATCAGCCTCTCAGGTCTGCCCACGGACGTCCTCTTCACGCGATCACCTTGCTCATCTCGCCACCCTCGTGTCTCGCACCTTGCCTGTTCTACCGCCTCGCCAACCTTCTGCCCACGCATCGGCTTGCCACTTCAGGAAGAAGACCGGCAGCCAACGACTTGGTACCCCTCCCAACCCGAGCGGGACGAAGAAGCTTGTCGAGCCTTCGCGCCCGGTGACGATGGAGCCTGGTAGCTCGCTGACCCCTGGAGACGCCTCCCCCAACTGTGAGCTTCTCGCTCCAATCGGTGAGTGCCAAACGGGCTGGATGCCGGGTCGTCCTTTCATCGCAGTTGAGCCCCGCCCCCCACGTGCTCGTTCCCGCTCCTGTCGTTGGCCCAGCTTGGCTGTACGACTGTGTAAGCGGCATTGCGTTGCGCTTCAACGGCGGTGATACTCAAGCCCCTGCCGTCCGCAACGCATCTCACCACGGTTCACCTAGCCAGCTTTTGGCTTGGTTGCTTCGCGCACCCCCTTTGCCCTTACCCCTCGGCGGCTCGGCTGGTGTCGCCTGTGTCGTGTGCCCCTTTGTTGGGTGTCCAGTGTGCACCAACCCATGCGCCAGCCAGCCTGTCCGGCCTGGTACTTGCTCTCTCCCTTCACCAAAAACCTGACGGAATGCAAACGTCGGATAGGGAAAGCTTTGCCTCACTTGGCCTGCACTGGGGTCCCTGCATCTGCCGCTGTTCCAACGTGTCCAACAAGTGTTGGCGATGTTGTACGGCAAATGGCCAGTGGAAGTGCCGCGCTCGTGACCGGCGCTTGTTCGATTTGTTCACAATGATCGCCCAACTGACTACTGCCATGTAGGCTATGCAAACTCCTCTAGATGCGGCTACTGTGGTACGTCGTCTCGTCAAACGAAGCGTAAGTATTGTCCTTGACGATGGTGCACCTTGAATTGCACAGTGCCAGTCTCTACACAGCTGTTCCAGAGTGGACTCTATACTCAACAACGGATGACTGATTAAGGCTTCAGGCTACTCCTACTACGCGACGGCCACTTCTCTATCTCCTCAGTTTTATCAGAAGCTGATTGATAGGTGTTGGAGACGGTCCGGGACTCTCATGTATCGCCCAAATCAACGCCAAGCATGTTGTCCGCACTACACGATTCGTCTTGACTCATCACAGTTCAAGCCAGCTCGTGACCAACGGCAATCTGTCAATAGATTCAACAGGTATATCCTCGGAGAGCCATACATGAAAGAAGCTGCGCGACTGTACCCAAGGTCACGAGAAGAAACTAAGAAACGAGACAACGAGTTTTGCCTCACGGATCGCATTCATGAGGCTGAGTACTCTCACCTCAGAACACCGCCGGAGCCAGCCCACAAGCTTGTTGTCACTCTCGAAGAGGACTGCTTTACAGAAGAAAAGTATCGCGTATACGACAATTACCAGAAGGTTGTACACAAAGAGGAGCCAGAGGACCGTACGCGACGGTCATTCAAACGCTTTCTCTGTAATTCCCCCCTGAGGCAACAAACGATCACGGGGCCTGACGGGCGGAAGCGCCGCCTTGGTTCATTCCACCAATGCTACAGAATCGATGGCGATCTGGTGGCCATAGGAGTGCTCGATCTTCTGCCTGACTGCGTGAGCTCCGTGTACTTTTTGTACCACGAAAGCATCCACAGGCTCACGCCAGGCAAGATTGGGGCCCTCTACGAGATTTCCCTGGCCATTGAGGAGGGTTACCGTTGGTGGTATCCCGGCTTCTACATCCACAGCTGCCCCAAGATGAGGTACAAGATCGACTACACCCCGCAGTTCATCCTCGATCCTCAATCCTTGGCCTGGGACCCACTAGACGATGAGGTCCTCAGCTTGCTTGACAGGAAGTCTTTCGTCAGTCTATCTCTAGAGAGACGGGCGGCGTCGGAGGATCTCAAAGACGCGATGGACGTGGATGCCGAAAAAGGTGATTCCCCACCCGAATCCGAGGAAGGCGGAGAAGACGAAGAGGCAAATACCTCGCTCTTTCAGTCGGACATGCCAGGGATACCGTCCCTCGCAGACATGGAGAAGGTGGACCTGGACCACATCCCTCTGAAAATCTTCCCAAGCGGCCCGCTCTTTGAGACGTCAGACCTGGTCAGCTGGGACTCGAAGACAGTGAGAGACTGGCCGTCGGCCAAAGCTTCCATGGCTGAGCTGGCGGCAGCGCTTGGGCCGGATATCTTGCATTGCGTATGTGTGGATTCGTCCCGCTAACACCCGCCTCTGTGTTCCCCAGGGTCTAGAAGCTGCCTCACAACGCGGGGCCTCATAGTGAAGACATGAGCTGTCAAAATATCTATTTGATTGGGTGCAAGAAATATTTGTTCATCCTTGTGAAGTATGGTATCAATTGAGTGTGATGGCATGGGGACAGCAACTCTGTCGCATTGTGTCCAGTCACTCCAGTGTCCACAGCAGCGCACCGTGCCCCACCACAGGTGGTCCCGCATCTTATCGCTCACCTCGGTGAGAGCTCAGCCTGGTTATCGCGTTCAAAACTTTCAACATCAGCTAAAGGTAGTGAACCGCGCTCAATTCCCACGCCCTTGCGAACGACTCCGAACGGGCACTGCGAGCAATTCGGCAGGAAGACCGCCATCATGGCCACTCAGCAAACTCTGCTGTCTCCAGCGGAGCTGGCCTACCTCCACAGTTCTCTTGCGCTGCACCCGCCAATCCGTCCCGACGGTCGGGCGCCGACACAGTTCCGTCCACTCACAGCAGAGACGGGCATCCTCCCCGGCACCAACGGCAGCGCGCGAGTATGCTTCTCGGACGGCACAGAGGCGATCGTGGGAGTGAAGGCGGAGATTGAGAAGACGGCCGGCGCGGTGACGAGCGACGACCTTGAGGGCGGGGACCTGCAGCGAGGAAGCGCCAGCGGTGACGAGGAGAAGGCAAAGGCCAGGGGCGACTGGCTGGAGATGACGGTTGAGATCCCGGGACAGCGCGACGACGACGCGGCGACGGTGTTTCTGGCAGAGATGCTGCGCGAGGCGCTCCTGGCAGACGGCGATTTTGCAAAGAAGCTGTGGATCAATAGGCGATTTCACTGGCGGTTATACCTCGACGTGAGTGCTCTCTTCAATGATGGAAACGGCCCGCTTGCTGACAGCTGTCGGGCCAGATCTTGCTGATATCGCCGCCACTATCCTACCCTCTTCCTCTCCTCTCGCTTACCACACACCTGGCCCTGCTGGCCACCAGACTGCCGCGATTAAAATCCGAAGGCGACGAAGACCCCATGTTCGACGACGACTGGGAGGCATCCACCTTCTTGTACCCTCGCGAAGGCGCCGCCGCGGGATCGCGGCCCCCCATCACGCTTCTGGTCGTGGCTGTAGGCGACAACGTCATCTTCGACCCGGCCAAGGAGGAGCTCGCCGTCGCGGAGTCGGCCCTCGCCGTGTCCGTGGCGGAGGTGCGAGGCGGGAAGAAGCAGGGCGACATGGACGTCGACGCGGGCCGCGAGCTGCGGCTGCTTTCCATGCGGACGGTCGACCCGCCATCCCGGCTGACGCCGCCGGGCGTGCCCAACTCGGCGAACGTGGCGACCAGCGGGGTGTCGCAGCCCAAGCCGCAGGCGAAGCTCGACGGACGGCCCGAGGAGGGGGTATGGAAGGCGCCGCTGGGCGGCACCAAGTTTGCGGTTTTGGACGGCATCATACGGGCGGTGCTGGAGAAGGGCGGTGTGGCACACGAGGTATTGGACGGCTTGGACGGCGTTGACCTGGCATAGAATCACAATGGACATACGGCGTTTGAGGGGGATTGTTTAAGCTCATAATTCGGGAGCATGCTGAGATCATTTTTACTATTATGATACAGATGGTCCTTGTTGGGTCATAGCTCGAGTACCGCACGTTGCTGCATGCAGGTACTCCTACAAAATACCAAACCACTTCTTCCTCTGCTCCGGCTTCGCCTCTCCTTCTTCCTTGGGCGGCAGCTCGCGGCCGAGGGCCGTGGCCTCAAGCTCCTCGACGGAGCGGTTGTCGTCCTTGCCGAACACCATGGTGACGGGGTCCTTGGCCTCGATGCCGTGCGTCTTCATGTAGTACTGGCGCTTGGCGACGTCGTCGAGGTGGCGGGTGCGGTGCTCGCTGGCCTTGAGGGCCTTGTCCTTTTCATGCATGGCGATGACGTTCTTCCACTGGGCGAAGAAGTAGGTGGGCTGAGCCCAGAGGTCCGAGATGGGCGGCACAAGGTCCTTAAAGGGCGAGTTGTAGGCGTAGTTGAGGAAGAAGGTGTAGAGGCCCATGGCCAGCAATGTGCCCTGCGAATCCAGATATGTCAGCACTTTGAGGCGATCCTTGAATGGGTTCTCCTCTTTGTCACGGAGAGGAAGTAGTACCATTGTGATGAACGTGTGGAGGAGCCGGCTGTGCCAGAACCAGTGCGCCCAGGAGCCCTGCGGCGCCATGAGGCCCGGGTAGTCCCTCTTGCCCTGGGCGGAGATCTCGCCAGGCGTGAGGTCGGGGCCGTAGTGCCGCGGCATCGAGTTGCGCTTGAGACGCGAGCCGTGCGAAGGCGGGTTGAACTTGGTCGGCTTCTCGAGCACAATGGGCTTGTGCGGCTTTCCGGCGCCGCCGTCCGAGGTCGAGACGAAGCGCACGAGAATGTTTTGCGAGAGCGGGATGGAAACGCCGCGCCAGAGCGGGCCCTGCAGCGGGAGCAGGAAGCGCGGGATGACGGCCCTCGAAGCCATGGTTGGCGCCTCTGCTCTCTGTCGATCGATTGAGGGGGGCTCGAGGGAGTGGGAGGGTTGGGTTGTGGCTGCTGTGTGCTGGTGCGGTGAAGCGCAGCACTTCGGAGGCGGTGGGCAAAACTGGTGATGGCCTCGCTCACACAGAGAGCTTCTTTTCTTCTCGAAGGCCTGGTTTCTGCCGACCCGCAGCCGTTGGGGTAACCAGCGGCAGCGGCAGCAGCAAGGGCGCGCTGCAGTTTGCCGAGCTTTGGCCGGCGACCACCCCGATGGGGAAAATCCGGCCTCAAGCGAGGCTCCACCCGTTGTATCCGAGTTCACCCGGACACGCGGCTGTGGCTCGCCACGAGACTGCGTAATTGACGGCCTGCGATTGGCCGACCGGAGCGCCACATGTGGCTCAGGCGCGGCGTCGCTCCAATTGTGCCGCGCCGGGGGTGCTGCGCTAGTTTCTCCATGCTGTCATAAACTCATCGGCATGCGCTCAGGATTTTTTTCCCTGATCTCCTTCCCTCTCTCTCCCTACCTACCAAGTCAAGACTCTCACCCCGTCCAAAGACTGTCTTTATCGACGCGCTCTTTGGCATTTCTCCGAACGACCTTTACGACCCTTTTGATATCCACGTTTTCGTTTTTCCAACCCACACCTAATCACAATGGCTGGCGGTAAGTTGTCATTCGTGCATCGCCCTCCCATGTGAGGACGAGAAAAACCCTTTCTCCGGAACAGCCGAGGTCGAACGGCGGTCGGTGTGGCAGCGCCCGCCATTGAGCTCGCGCGACGCCATGGGCAACGGCGGCGATGCAAGCGCTTTGGGGCTGGCGGACGGTGTTCTCGTCTTTCCTGGCCGGCGGACATGCGAGTTGTCATCGCCGGCGCGGCGCAGTGGTCGGATGTAGGAGAGGATTGCGCTGCGTCATTTTCAAAGACGGCGGTCAACTCCCACGCCACCCTGCCGCCCCCTGCGACGGCTCGCGATGCATCCGTCGCGGTGAATGGACATCTGTTCATTGTTGCGGCGTTTGCGCTCGCCGCCCGTGCGGCAGAAAGCTCGCGCCGTTCCGGGAATGGGCATCGACAAAATGACACCTTGAGTAACGTATGCTGACGTACGACGCCACCAGGTGACACCAAGAAGGGCGCCTCCCTCTTCAAGACGCGCTGCGCGCAGTGCCACACCGTCGAGTCTGGCGGCGGCAACAAGATCGGCCCTGCCCTGCACGGCCTGTTCGGCCGCAAGACCGGCTCCGTCGACGGCTACTCGTACACGGATGCCAACAAGCAGAAGGGCATCACCTGGGACGACGGCACCCTGTTCGAGTACCTCGAGAACCCCAAGAAGTACATTCCCGGCACCAAGATGGCCTTCGGCGGCCTGAAGAAGGAGAAGGACAGGAAGGACCTGATTGCGTACGTTTCCCCCGACATTGCCCCATCCCCCTCCATTTCCCCGGCCCCCTTTCATCTGCCGGCTTTCCAAGAAGTGCATCGACTGACATTGACTTTTCCACCCCTGCAGCTACCTGAAGGAGTCCACCGCTTAAGCGCTCCAGTGGCGGTGCGTGGCGGTGTGTATAACGATACGAACCATCTTTCCATTTTTGTGATAGACGGGGGACGCGGCGATTGTACTATAGAGCAACTAGAATAGTTGAGGGGCACCATCACTGCGTGCTTGTTGTACTACAGGATACAAAAACTCCTCTTTCGGCGGGATCCGCGCCAGCGTTCGAGTGCAGTGTTCGTTTGTGACCCACGGCTGTCCTGAAAACAAGCAGCCGGCGAATTTATTCTCGGCAACCCGAATCACGTTCTTGTAGTCGAATTCCTCAATTCCTCGATTTCCCCGAGTCCTGGGTGTGCGTAGCGTGGCGCCGGGCAAACCCTGTTCAGCCACTCCCGCGACGGGTGGCAACGGACTTTCCAGTTGCAACTCCATGGCGCCAAACGGTACAGCGGGCGGTGGCACACATGGCTTTGCTTGTTGGCTCCAAACGCTAAGAGCATTATTTGCAAGCCAGGCCTTGCGCTTCTGCTTCGTATAGAGCTACTTTACTACCACTTGTGCCTGCCGTCCCTCTCGTGTCTATCGCTCCCCTCGTTGCTTTCGTTACGTTTGTTGCGTTCGTTGCCAGTCTGGCCGGGATATTTGCAAAGAGAAGTCGTATGAAAGATAGTCGCATTGGGGGTATTTAATAGCTAAAAAGGCACCGTCTATCTATCCCTCGCTGGGCCATATATAAAAGCACAGATTCTAAGCGGCCCGCAGCCTATACGAATTGGGGTCCCTGACGCTCGCGCGCGTGTTTGCCAGGGCGTGCTGCCAGTCCGCAGCGTCGATGGTCTGCGGCCCGCCGGAGCTGGCCGCTTCGGTCCACCTATGGAGAGCGTTTTCGGCAGCTTTCGTGTGCAGTCCGGACAGGTCGGCGCCGCTAAAGTTGGCGCAGCGAGGGTCCAGGGCCACAGCGGCGAGGGCGTCGAGCTCTTCCTGCGTAGCGTCTTCGTGATTCGTACGATAAACGGCGCGCAAGATGTCGACACGTTCCGTGGGCGTCGGCAGATCGACGAGGAGTTGCACACTCAGGCGGCCGGGCCGAAGCATAGCTTCGTCGATCATCTCGGGACGGTTGGTCGTGCCGATGACGTAAATGCCCGTGCGGTCCTGAGCGCCGTCCAGCTCAGTGAGCAGGGCGTTGACAACACGCGCGCCAGAGTCGGTGGACGAGTTGTTGCGTGGGGGAACTATAGAATCCATCTCATCAAAGAAGAGGATGCAGGGCGCCGAAGAGCGCGCTCGCTGAAAGAGCTCTCGTACGGCGCGCTCTGACTCGCCCACGTACTTGTTGAGCAGCTCTGGACCGTTGATGAGAATGAAACTGGCTTGGGCCTCGTTGGCTACGGCTTGCGCCACCAGTGTCTTGCCGCACCCGGGAGGGCCCCAGAGAAGGACGCCGGCAGGCCGGCTAAGACCGAACTTGCGGTACAGGTCGGGGTTCTTGATGGGGCCGATGATGGACGTCTGAAGCTGTTTGCGAGCCGCCTCCATGGCACCGACTTGATCCCAGGTGACGCTCGGTATCACCGTGAATCCCTCTTTCCTCAGTGACGGGGTGAAGTTGGCGATGGCCGCCTTGAAGTCTTCCATGGTCACCGTGACCGGGCCTCGCGACATTTCGTCCACATAAAACTTTGTTTCGCTTTCCGAGGGTGCAAGGTCCCCGTTGGCAAGTTCAAGGTTGCTCCGTCCTTGGATTTGCGAGAACGCAGGCCACGGGATGCTTTGGGAAAGATGCCGGTCTGACGCCCTCAGCTCTGCAATCCTGGTGACGGCGGCGAGGTCAGCGCCTACATAGGCATGCGTAATGTTGGCGAGGGCTGCCAGGTCGACGTCATTTGCCACCGACAAGTGCCTAGTGCAAATCTCGAGGATGTCGCGCCGTGCCGCGCAGTCGGGTATCCGGATCTGGAACGTTTGCTCGAAGAGGCCGTACTCGCGTATAGCAGGATCAACATCCACGAGCCTGGAAGTCGTAGCCACGGCAAGAACCCGGGTCTGCTGTAGGCCCGATAGCCGTCTCATCTGGGCCGCAAGATACCTCCTCGCCTGACTGTGATGGTCACTGTGGGTCGACGCGCCAGGTCTTGATATATGCTGGTCGATGTCGTCGATAAAGACGATGCTTGGCGCGAGGCTTATGGCTGTGTCAAACGCTTCCGCAAGACTCTTCTCCATGCGCTCGGGATTGTCGAAGCAACCGTCGAGGACAACCAGCGCTGCATCGAGCCCTGACGCCAAGTTCTTGACGGCCGTCTTCTTTCCCATACCCGAAGGCCCAGATATGAGGAGACCAGACACACGTGATCCAGGGGACATCTCCAACGGAAGAAGTGCGTGCCAGGTCAGCTTGAAAAGTTGCCGCAACACATCGTCAAAACCGCCCACCGGACTACGGCTGTCGCCCTGCTCGACGGTGAACCGTGTCGGCTTTTGTGTCTTTTTCAGCGGCGCCTTGTCCTCTTTGGGCCCCGGGGTGGTCACTTCGCCGGCAGGAGTGTCGGGTCCGCTAGCACGATCATCCTTTCCGTCAACATCAGACTGAAGGCGACGCTTCTTAGTCGCCGGCTGGTCACCAGGCGTGTCGGCCGGCTTGGCGTTGGTCTTCCACAGCTTGGTCATCTGGCGGTTAAGCAGGAAGCGCTCGTCTTGGGGCTTCGCGGGTTCGGGAGCGTCGAGGGCGGCTTCGGAATCGTCCGACTCGTCGTCTTGGGCTTCCTGCTTGCGGATCTGCAGGACACGGTCGATGGCATCCTCGAGCGGGCGCTTTTTCAGCCTCGCGATGCTCGAATTGGACCGTTTTATAGCATCGTAGGCGGCAGATACTGTTGTAAAGTTCGTATCGAGCTTGTTTAGTATTTGGTAGACATCCCGCTCGAGGTTGTTGCGGAAGCCCACTCGAGACGGCATGACGGGCGCAAAAAAAAATAGAAAGTCGACGTTGCGAACCCCACGAGAAATTTGGTGGGGTCTGCCTACCTTATGTAGCGTGGTTGGCGCTAACCTCAGCACACTTGCATGCTGGGGACCGCCGATAAAACCCTGTGATATAGGGCACCGTCACAATTGCCGGAAGGGGTCACGGGTATAATCTTTGCCGTAATTGTCTAAAGAAAAAAGGACGTCTGTATTAAAATTGTACTGTCATGACTGCATTCTCCCCTTCGGTCGGTCCTGTTGTTGGCGCTTTTTCGAGTCTGGTGTCCCGTTGCTGGCTGTCATACCCGACATGTGCAGATTGGTGCAGTGACAAATTCAATGTCGTTCAAATCCGAGCCATGGCTCATCTTTGCGATGGACAATGAACGAAAATGGACAGTCGCTCTTTTGCGTTACTGACTTTCTTCTCCCGATGGTCTGCTTGAACTGGAGAAATAGATACTCTATTTCCGCTGTTAGAGGTAGGCTCTTGCTGCGACGGCTATGTAGGATCGTGGGCAGACAAAAAGATGAGTCGCTTGTCGCCAGTGTCTAGCGCTACATCTGCACCACGCATTTTGACGGCCCCCGCTAACGACACACCGACCGTGCTGCCGTCGCCGTTCCGCCGCGCGCCTCCAAAAGCGCCGCGATGACGATTGCCCACCGCCGCGCGACAACCCACCTCCGACACACCGCACGCCCGAACCACAGGTAACTCTGCGGCGGGACCGGCGCCGGCGCACGACACCATGGGCGGCAACTCGAGCAAAGTCACGGCCCAGGACAAGTACGTGAACTCCCTCACTCCGTTCGCCTGGCTGCGTGCGCATCCACAGACGGGGCGGGGGAGGCAGTCAAGTAGTCGCGTGCCTGCGGCCGAGAGCTTCAGCTGACGCGCGGAACCAAACTCACAGGGCCATTCTGGACCTCAAGATCCAGCGCGACCGGTTGCACCAGTATCAACGACGCATCACGGTGCTGACGGACAAGGAGACGGATATCGCGCGGCAGATGCTGGCGCGCGGCGACAAGAAGCGCGCACTACTAGCCCTGCGCCGCAAGAAGTACCAGGAGACGCTGCTGGCCAAGACGGACGCCCAGCTCGAGCAGCTCGAGCGGCTAACGTCGAGCGTCGAGTTCGCCCAGATCCAAAAGGACGTCGTTTTTGGCCTGCAACAGGGTACGAAAGTCCTGCAGGAAATTCACGCCGAGATGGGCGGTATCGACAAGGTCGAGAAGCTCATGGGCGAGACGGCCGACGCCATCGCCTACCAAAAGGTACGTGTGCCCTCCCTCCTGCTGCCCTGCCCTACACTTTTTTTGTCATGTCCCGTCTGGGTGATGTGAGAATGAAAAGGCTGACTGGTCGAACAGGAAGTCAGCGAGATGCTCGGCGGCCGCATCTCCAACCAGGACGAAGAGGATGTCGAAGACGAGCTGGCCGCGCTGCAGGCCGAGGTCGCCGGCGAGGGCGTGGCTCAGCAGCTGCCGTCCGTCCCGAACGCGAACCTGCCTGAGGCGGAGCGGCGCGGCGAGGGCGAACCGGCAGCGGCAGCTGAGCGGCCCGAGAGGCAGGCGATGCTGGCGTCATGACATCCGCGACGAGATGATGGACGGGCGCACACACGCGCAGAGGCATCGCTGCCAGGCAAGGGTAGTGGTGATGCATGATAGAGGCGGGCGGGCAACGACGATGACACACACACTACAGCGAGCACACTCGATACACATGGCGTTGAGGCATTTATCCTTCAAATCTCTAGCTGCAACTTTTGGTTTTCTCTTTACTCTACGCATCTGATTGCCCGCGATATTGCGTCCGAGGTAATTAACATTAGCTGCCGCCGTACTCAGCCGTGAGCTTGCGCATAATGGACATGGCGCCCCCACGGTACCCGCCCCCAAACATGGCAAAGTGGTTGAGGTGATGGTATCTGCGCGACGGGCGTCAGTCAAGGTTGCATGTGTATATGCACACGTATATGTACGTGTGTGGATGAGTCGTCAGTTGTGCGGGTCTGATAAAGACTCACAGCTCGTACAGGGCGACGCGGTCTTCCCACTCCTCCCTGGGCTCGGCCTTGGGCACGAGCTCGTTGTACTCGTTCCAAAATGCGGCGCCGAAGCCGCCAAACATGCGCATGATGCCGAGCTCGTACTCTGCGTGGCCATACACGGCCGAGGGGTCAAAGACGACCTCCTCGACGCCACCCGCACCGGCGATGCGCCCGCGGCCATGGTTCCCGCTCCAGAGGTCGCCGTGCACGACGACGGGCACCGGCGCCGGGCGTAGCCTTTCGCCGCCGAGGAGCCGCGGCACGACGCGCGAGGCGACGGCCTCGACGGCGTCGGCGAGGGCAGAGTCGGGGCCCTGGTTGCGCATCCCCGCGCGCAGAATCGCGCGCAGCCGGTTGTCGGCGTAGAAGTCAGCCCATGAGTCGCGCCAGCTGTTGTCCTGCGCCGTCTCGCCACAGCAGGTCGGCACGGGGAAACCAAACATGGGCTTGTCGAAACCCTCTGGAACAGGCGCGGGTGTTGTGTGCAGCTTGGCGAGCTTCGCGGCGAGAGAGAGGCCAGAACCGCCGCCGCCGCTACGACCGGCCGATGAGGACGACCCCAGGTCGAGGAAGTCGGTGGCGAGGAAGAAGCCGCCTGAGCGGTTGGACAAGGCGCCGTGGGCATAAGACTTGGGGCAGAAGTTGGGGACGGTGTCATGTATGGCGTTGAGCGAGGCGTGCTCGCCTATCGGCAACATCAATATCATCATTCGTCAGCCACCACCATGGCGAGGGAGCAAGCCAGCGCGGGCAGCGGGAAGCATCGACGGACCACGGAACATGAGCTCGGCGTCCTTGCCGGTGCCTGTCTTAACAAAGTAGTGCCTCTGCTGGCCATCGACCGTCGTCGATAGCTTAAAGGTGGAGGCGAAGCCCGAGCCGCCATGTGAGGCAATGGTAGTGTGGGCGACATCGAGGCCCAGCGCCTCGAGGATGGCGGGGTCGACGGCGGGCGGTGCCATGGTGAGGTAAGCTATGCGGTCATGTGTGGTAAGCGGCGGCGCGTTACTTCGGGTGTTGTGCTGCGTAGTGTTTTTGTATTGTCGTTTGCGTTCTGTGTGAGAGTGAAGGTGAGGGTGAGGTTGAGGAATCAGTCGCAAGGGTGGGATGGGGTGACGTCAAGGAGGCATGATGCTGCCCCAGCATGTCATGCTGCGGTGTCAGTGACACATGGCAATGATGGCATGACGGATGCTGTATAGCTTTGTACATTGAGCACAGCGATAAGGCTACTTTGCAAGCAGTTTCAGCCATTGGGTATTATTAGTTTAGATATTCTATGCTATCCTTCCCCTGCTCATCACCGCCAGCCACAGCTGAGCAGCGCGCAGTGCCAGCTCGATTCGCAATGTCAGGCGCGTTCCCAGCCCCACAGTCCATGTGCTCGTCGGCGGTAGTAGTGGTCGACGCCGTAACGGCCGCTAACAAGGCGGGAGAGTTTTCCGGGCTTAGGTGGTTGGCAACCGACGATTCCAGCAGCCTCTTCAAGCCTCGACCCCCGGAGGCTCGCCCGGAATGCCGGCGGAGCCGCGCCGCCGCCCGCTGACCACCACCGCCGGCAGTGGGGAGGGCGGGCTCCACCGGCTTGGTCGCCGGGGTGGCCACCCGACCCCTGCTGCTCCAGGGCGCTACGGGGCACATGCAGTGCGATGCGCAAGCCCGCCGTCGTCACCGTCGTACTCGGGACAGAGCGTGCGGTGGTGGACAAGGGGTTGATATATGTTGTGGTCGTGTGTCTCGTCACAGTTGGAAAATGAACGAAGCCAAAATTCAAGAGTCCTTTTTTCTTGAGGAAAAAGGATGAAAAAGTCGCCCGCAGTAAAAACGCCGTGATGATAAAACAGGTCGAGAAGGCTAGCGCTTTAGAGAGGTATCACGCTTTGGCGCTCTGGGTGTGTGAAAGCACAGTGTGTGTGTGTGTGCATGTATGCATGTGTAAAAATGAGTTGGCAGACGGACGAACGGACGAGCGAACAGAGAGACCCAAGTGCCGCGTCTACTCTACTGCGGCGTCACGCGCTCAATGTGTGTCGTGGTCGTTATCGTCGTGCCGGGCTTGTCGGCGGCGCTGCTGACGGAGAGGGCATCGGAGTCTGCCGCCGTTGTAGTGCTGGACCTACGGCTCTCGTCGTCGAGGAGGCGGATGAACTGTTGCTGTTGTTGTTGCTGCTGCTGGTGCTGCTGGTGTTGCCGCTGCCTTTGTTGCTGGGCCACGACGTCGGTGCCAAGGTTGTAGCAGTTGGCGCAGGGGCATGTCGACGATGTGTTGAGAGGCGGCGGGGGCGTGCAGTGGCGCGCGAACCAGCTGGAGAGTTGAGAAGGCATGATGATGGCGGGTTGATGTGGTTTGTGAGATGGAAGTGCTTGTTGACCCTAGATGGGTATAAGTGTAGAGCAGATTCGAGTAGAGTGTAGACTGAGCAGAGAGCTTGTAGTTTGTGTGTGAGAAACGATGCTCTGATGAGTACAGATGTAGAACTGTGTTTAAGTGACGATGAGTCAACCCAAAAGCATTCATCACGACTTAGAGGGCACCGAGGGTATTTATATTTCCCCCCGTCTCATGCCAACACCCGCGACGACTCGCGAGGCGTCGCAGCTTTGCACACACACCGGCGCATCCCCGCTGGTCCCGTCCGGCATGGAGCTCCGCCGCGGCCGGCAAGGGAAGCAGGAAAAGCCATTCCCGGCGACGCACATTCTAGATGCATCAGGGTTGCAGGGAAAACGCCAAGACCGGGATGGTGGTGCCTGATTCAGACAAGAGCCCCCCAGGGAAACCCAACCAGGGGCGTCCCACTTTTTGGGGCTCTGAGAGCCTCTCTCTGACGTGCAAAAGCCAGGCCTGGGAAGCTACAGTTTGGGTGGTTGTTGCAGTGGGCAGGCAGCGTGCAATAACCGAGCATTGCCGAGCGCAGCTGGGTTTGCCCTGTTTTGATCCCCGTCCAGGTCCCTCATTGGCTGCGACAGGTACTAAGGTAGGTAGCTGTTTGCCTGCATCTCTCCCTTTGCAAGCTGTTACGTAGCTTCGTCGTCGACAACAACGACAATAAGGCCGCCCCTTTCGATGCTGCAAACTTGCAGGTTGGGACTCGTCGCCCTGCTTTGCCCAGCTCCCGGATTGCGTTGTAACACAAACCTGCAGTGGCGTTTTCTTTGCGGTTCCGGCACTGACATCGACAGTGGCACTCGGTCAGGACGCCACCCGCCGCCCGCTGGCGAGTCGTCGTTCGGGCTTGGGGTCCCCACTCGGGCGTTTGTCGGGATTCGCACATTCTCTCACTGGAGGTTCCAGGTCCCCACAGGGCTGCAGCATGCCTGCCCGCCTGCCTGCTTGCAACTTCTACAGGGCTCCAGGCTGCCAGCGCGGGCTGCTCCCGTAAGCTACGGCGCTCCGCCGCGCGACGACCCCCCCAGTCCCGGCGGACAATCGCCGGCCTGGCCTTCTAGAAGGCCAACAAGTTCCAGTTCCAGCGCACTACGACCGTGTAAGACCCGCAGTGCAATTGTCTGTTCCAACTTCTCCCGTCCGGCCCGCCTCGCCCGTGACGTCCATTGTTCGAATAATTCCGTTCTTTCTTTGCGTGCCATGCACACTGTTCCGTCTTGGGCAAAACATCCGTCGTCGTCATTGTCCACGACGCCGTGCCGCGCCGAAGAGGCGCTCAGGCTCACATGCAAACCGGACGCCGGTCCGGTCTCCGAGCAAACGCCACACAATGCATGTTTGGGACGGCGAGAGCGGCAGGAGCTCTTGCACTCTCTCCCTCGCGCGCGCACACACATACTTGCCCCGATCTGTTGTTGGCAGTGCAAGACGAATTCAAGGGAAGAGTCATTTCCTTCACCGTAACGGGAAAGAGAGGCGAAAGAATGCGTACCCTTGGCTTGGGCCTGCCGCCACGTCACCAGGACATCTGCATTTCTCACTCCGGTGCCACCGTCCGCAAGACACCCGAGCGCAACGGAACCTGGACAACCAAGACAGCCTGCGCCTAGCCATGAACCGGGGGCCGTCCCACATCCCGGGAGGACCCCGAGAGAGCCCCCCGGTCGCCGCTCTGTTCGTGTGTGCTTCGTACGGGCAAGTGGCTGCATCCAGTCAGACGGTATCCATGCGAAGCTCGTTCCTCGTACGTCTTGTTTGCTCACCTTTTTTCGTTCATGCCGTGCGCTGTGACAAAGTCCCCTTTCGTCCGACCCGAGCTGTCCGACACGTCTTCCCTTGCGTTCCTCTCTGCAAACCCAGCAAATGCGCGCCTCCGTTTCCCGGAGGCTTCTTGTGCGACGCCAAACACAGCAGCCAGCGTTCTGGCCCATGTCATGTCTCTCTCGAGCCCCCTGGCCGGCACAAGATCCCATTCCACGTCCCACGACGAAGGAAAAAAAGCAAAGGAACTCACTTTCATTCTCCGTTCGTTCGTCGCACAATCTCGTTACCTACGGCCCCTCGTCCCGTTCGCTCCTCAACTGGAACGCCTGGGCAACGGCTCGTCGTCCGGATGCTCCGCCCCGATTCCCCGGTACGAGGGTCCTTGCAGCCTCGTCGCCGGGATGGCAGATCGAGGGATTGCGTCGCGCAGGCGAGACGGTGACGGACCAGGGGGCTGACGAGATTTTTCGCCTGACCATGGCCTTCACCGGGGACCTGTTGGGCGCCGAGACATCTTCCACTCACTCTCACGACAAATGTTCAGTCACAGCTTTTTCCTGAACAGCACCAGCAGACGCACAATCGACAGCCCTGTTCACTTCTATAAACAATAAGCATAGATGGCACTCAACACGTGTCCCCGACTCGTCCCATCGCGGAAAAGTTGATGCATGCTACAGCACAGTACACTCGCCACGCCCGACGCAGTCCTTGATCAAAGGACCTTTGCTTGCCCCCAATGAGATATTACACGCAGTGTCCACCATCCGTCCCGAGGCAGACATGCCCAACCAACCCTTAGATGCCCAGCGTGAACTCGACGCCGACATCAATGTCACGCGCTGCGGTCAATGGTTAGCAAACCATCACAGCTCGTACGCAGCAGAATCGTACTTACCCAGCTTGACAACCTTGGACAGCTGCACCGCCTTCTCGGCGGCGTTTTGCAGGTCGTCGATGGAGAAAATCTTCATGCCCGACTCGTTGATGAGCTTGTGTGCCTGCTCCACGTTGGTGCCCTGCAGACGAGCAATGATGGGGATCTTGAGGTTCAGCGACTCGGCCGTGTTGATCAGGCCCTGCGCGATGGCGTCGCACCGCACGATGCCGCCAAAGATGTTGACGAAGATGGCCGTCACCTTGGGGTCGCTCGTGATGAGCTCAAACGCCTCCTTGATGGCAGCGGGCGTGGCGCCGCCACCGACATCGAGGAAGTTCGCAGGCTGGCCGCCGTTGAGCTTGATGATGTCCATGGTGGCCATGGCGAGGCCGGCGCCGTTGACCAGGCAGCCAATGTCGCCATCCAGCTTGATGAAGTTGAGGTTCGACTGGGCCGCGCGCACCTCGTCGGGGTCCTCTTGCGTCGTGTCGCGCCACTCAAACACCTCCTTCTGGCGGAACTCGGCGTTGTCGTCGAAGCCGAACTTGGCGTCCATGCAGAGCACCTGGTGGTCCGAGGTCTCGGACAGGGGGTTGATCTCGATCTGCGTCATGTCGCGCTCGAGGAAGATCTTGTAGAGCTTCTGGATCGTATCCTTGGCTTCCTCGACGCACTGCTCGCTGAAGCCGAGGTTGGTGGCGATGGTGCGCGCCATGTCGTCCGTCACGCCCTTGTTGATGTCGACGTAGGTGGTGATAATGGCATCGGGGGTCTCCTTGGCGACCGTCTCAATGTCCATGCCGCCCTGAGACGAAGAGACGATGACGGGCGTCTGCGACCCACGGTCCATGAGGATGGCCAGGTAGAACTCGCGACGGGCAAATTTGCGCTCGCAAATGTAGACGGCGTTGCACAGGCGGCCACCGGCGCCCGTCTGCTTCGTGATGAGCTTGTGGCCGATCATCTGCTCGGCGAACATCTCCGCCTCGTGCGGCGAGTAGATGACGCGGACACCGCCCTTGAGGCCATTGTCGAAGGTGCCCTTGCCTCGACCACCGGCGAGGACCTGAGCCTTGATGACCATGTCCTCGGTGCCGATCTCCTTGGCTACATTCTTGGCCTCCTCGGCCGTCTTGGCCACCGAGCCCTTGGGCACACCAACCCCATACTGTGTAACGGATCAAGAGTCAGTATCTCGAATCGTTCGGAAGACGCGGCGTCGCCGGGCGGCCGGCGGGAGGTGCTCGATTTACCTTTCGCAGGAGGTCGGCCGACAGGTACTCGTGGATGCTCAGCGCGCGCCGTTGTTGCGCAACGCCGGGCAGCCTGACCGAGGGGGCAATCTGAAGCTATCGCGATGCCGTGTTAGGAGCTTGCAAGGGGCTTCACCGACGAGGTGAGAGAAAAAGACGGGCGGACTCCGGACGCACCTTGGTGGCATTCAGGGCCGACGCCAGGGCGCGGCTGCGACCGAACTTGAACATTCTGAGTGGAGAGGGGCGGTCGCCGTTGGAGACGTGGAGGGGTAGAGAAGGAAAGTTCGCGATGACCGCGACGAGGACAAAGAACAGAGGTTGCTTGCTCCGGCGATGAAGCAAACGAGCTCCATCAGAAACGATTCTGCCGCAAGCTCCAGCTGGACCCGAGTTTCGCCGGTGTGGCCCGGAAAAACATGGCTGCCGAGCCGCTAAAGCCGATGGAGCGCGCAGGTCTGTCGGTGAGCGCTCTGGGGGCAGGTGCTCCCTAGGCTACTTTCAGTGGAAGTCGGCAGCCGTAATAAGTCAGCCGTGGTAAGCGGGCAAGCTGTCAAGGAGCCAGTTGCACCAGAACGTGCCTGCCTGCTCTAGAAAGTCAATTCCAGACCTCGCATTGATTAACCTGCAGGGGGGCAAGCAGCCGTCGCGCAGCGTCATTCGCCGCCCGCAGCTGCTCCTCACGCAACCCGTCTTCAATTGTCCTTCATCGCTTCGTTCATCCCCGTCATTGAACTCGGCTCTTGCGCCGATTTCCCGATCGACCCATTGCCGTCGTCGCGAGACGCCACATCTCCCACATCGCGGATCTCGTGCGACCCCGGCGCCTAGGCCCACCAGCAACTCGGACACTGCCCAATCCCAGAACTTGGTCGCTTTTATGCATCTCGTACAAGGACCACTCCCGACGCAGAGCCAGCTTCGTCACGGCTCGTAGCCACGCACAAGAAACCGACTGTAACCTGGCCCTTGTGCAGCAACGCCCGCTGTTCGACGATGCCATTCGCATCGAGTCCAGGTTCGCCGTCATGAGGTAGCTTCCTCAGGCGGTGCTTCAGCTCTAAGAAAGACAGTTCCCGACTCCCTGTGGCATGAAAGCCACTGCCGTGGTGGTCTTGGAGTCGCAAAGAAACGCCCCGCGCCTGCGCGGCTTGGGAACGCCGATTTTTCTGCAAGAATGAAATCCCTCGTTGTTCCTTGTTGGCAGTCTCAAGTTGTGTTAGTTGCACTTTTTTTCCTGCGGGGCTATGGCACCATGGATGAAGCGGTTGGTGGTCCAACTAGCCACAGGTCGGCAGGACGAATTATTAACGCGCGCAGAGCATCATGGTACTTCAAGTGAAGCAATGGGTCCGACGAGGCATGGACGATATGAAACCAGCTGCGGGCCCATGGTGCCCCCAGCTTGTTGGCTCTTGTCCTTCTCCTTCATCATCTGCCTTGCCCTCAATCCTGTACTCGCGTGTGGTCTCCTTCGTCACCGCTGGTGCTCACGGCTTTGTTGCCGGCTGCAACGCCATGCTCCTCCGACTCGATGTCTTCTTTGCTGGCTCCGTCTGTCTCTTCGCTGCACTTGTCTGGGCTCGACATCGGGCGGCCGATATCCGTATTCGACGCGCGGGAGGCACTCGCGCCCCAGTCTTGGCCGGCAATCTTTTCTCAGGTACCTTGCCTACCCCGCCGATGGTCACCCAGAGGTGTCCAGTGCTCCAAGGCTTTTAAATCGAGCTCGGGATTTCGAGGACGAGCTTTCATGAACTCTGTGACCTTAGTCCAAGCATCCTCGCAATAGCGCCCGTTGAGCTGACGAAGCGACAGCCTCGTGGTTCTATTTCAATGTAGGCAAGAATCAACTCAAAAACAACTTACCAAATTGGTGCAACAAAACCCTGGATGCCTTGCCGGGCAACCTGCACGCTGCCGAGTTCAGCTTAACAGGCAAGAAGAGGGTGCTCATCACGCGCGAACCCGAGCAGATCAAGGCCGTCCTTGCGACCAACTTCACCAGCTTCGGTCATGGTCCACAGTGGCACAAGCTCTGGGGGCCGTTCCTCGGCGATGGTATCTTTGCTATCGACGGACAGCAGTGGCATAACAGCCGTAGCATGATCCGCCCCATGTTTGCGAGAGACAGGCTTCGCAACCTGACGATATTCGACTACTGCACGAACAAGTTGCTCTCCAAACTGCCACGCAGCGGCGAGACGGTCGATCTCAAGGATCTGCTCTACAGGTGGTCTCTGGACGCCGCGACAGACTTTCTCTTGGGTGAAAATGTCGACAGCTTGGACAAGTTCGTGAAATACGGCCAGACGCCGCCGACAAGAGGCTAACATGTTCTCCTTGCAGCCCCGTTCACGACGTTGCCAACGCGATGACCGTTGCCCAGCGTATACAAATGTTGATATTCGTCCTCAAGTGCGCTGCCGGACAATATTCTGAAGCCTGTCGAAGGAGTGCTGACAGTGGAAAGCCCAATCGCGCCAATGATTCCCAAGGGGAAATACCTTGAGGCGATCCGATGCATCGAGTCATTCATCGAACCGATTATCGGCCGCGCCCTAAGCCTTACCGAGAGTGAACTGGACGAACTCTCCAAGTCGGACATGGATTTCACGTTTCTCCATAGCATCGCGCGATTCTCCAAGGAACCGAAAGTCCTCCGGGATGAGATTATGTCCGTGCTGCTGGCGGCAAGAGACACAACTGCAGCTACCATGTCGTGGGCAATGTACGAGCTGTCCAACTGCCCGGATGCGTGGGCGCAGTTGCGGCGAGAGGTCATCGACACGCTCGGGGTTGACCAACGGCCGACCTACGAGACTCTGAAGAACCTAAGATGCGTTAGAAACACCCTCAACGAAACGCTACGCATTCACCCAGTGGTTCCTCTCAATATGCGTCAAGCTCTAGAGACAACGACGATCCCTGGCGCACCGGGTGAGCCAAATGTCGTACTCCTCAAGGGGGACACCGTCACGATAAACACGTCTGGGCTACACGGGCGACAGGATCTGTACCCTCCCGCTTCAGAGACGTTTGTAGACCCCGCTATGTTCAGCCCGGACCGTTGGAATAACTGGACACCACGGCCATGGACGTACCTGCCGTTCAGTGGAGGCCCGAGAATATGCGTTGGCCAAAACTTTGCCCTCACCGAGATGGCTTATTGCCGTTGAGTGCTTCCCCGAGCGCAGAAATTGCGGGTGCGTTTGGCTAATCGATGATGCAGTGGTGCGCTTGGCTCAACGCTTTGAACGGGTTGAATATCGCGGGGACTGGGCCTCGCAAGCAACACGGGCTGACATTATTGCGACACCGGCGTTCGGGATTCCCGTGGCTCTATTTGAGCCTTCACTCACTCATCCGGACTATTAACTTTCTCGATCTCGAGCGAAGAGTTGGGCCTTGGACTAGTACGAAGTCATCCACAACCAGCCATTGCAGAGAGCGCAGAGCCAGGATAGGAGCGGTTTGCTAGCCACTGATGAGAATGTACATTACTACAGTTGTGTTCGACAGAGGCGCCAACAGAGCGGCGTGCATAGATTGAGGATGGCGACAATGAGCTGCTTGGGGCCGCTGGCTTGATCGTTTCTCTTCTCTGAGCGTCAAGATCCCCTTGCGACGGGCAGAGAAAGGCGAGGAGCAGATATTCACCGAGTCTGGCAAAGAGCAACTGCTCGCGTCCAGCAAGCGCGGTGCTACGAGAACCAGTACCCTCCAGCCGCCTTGGCCTCCTGAGCTGTGCTCGAGAGCTGTTGAGCATGATGAGCCGCTATGCAGCTCCGGTCATCCGACATCCGTCATCCGCCATCCGCCATCCGACTCGCCAAAGTCAAACTGCTTGGCGTCCACCAGCCAAGGTGCCTCCCCCGTGCCTGGCGTCGGCGCCCCTTTCGCGACTCCCTGCTGAAGAATCGTCCGCGACCACGGGGTACGCCATCGACGACATGAGTCGTTCGTGATGTGTTGTGCAGGGGGGGTATCTCGTACGTAACAGCGGACCCGTTCTTTGCCTCCTTGATCCTCGTCTGCCGGGTCTCCCCAGGTTTTGAGGCCATAGTGGACATTATCCGCCTGGTGGAGGTCCTTCCCCAGAGTCAAATGTCCACGCCTCGCCTCCATCCCGTGTCATCCAGCGATCCATTGTGAGCAGTGGAGTCTATGTCGCTTAGATGCGGGCCATGGGTCTCGCTGGGCCGGGACGTTTGCGGGGGCGGAGCTGTGGAGACCGCCGTCGCCGCCGCCGCCGTTTGTTCGTGAGACAGGCTCCATCCGCGGCCTCGATCTCAGGTTGCATCGATGACCCCGGATGCGGTTCCCACAACACGCGGTATTCGTCTCGTAATGCGGCTTTGTTCGCATTTCGTAGCTCGCTCCACCCCCAGATTCTTCCCCAGGAAATGGCTCATACAATGGAGTCGAGCCGTGCTAGATACACGCCTCAATGACTCGACGTTGTGATGCCTCGATGCCAAGCTGCGCCGGCTCCGGTGAGAAGAGACGAGCTTCCAGGCGGCCTCCCGGGACGGTGTCACCAGCCGAGGTGTGGGTGGCAATCAAGGAGCGATCAGCGAGACGTGCAGCCGCGAGGGGCGTTGCCGTTGCCGTTAGCGAGGTTCTGCGGCTGCACTGAAGCCTCCACCACAGGTTGAACGGCGGCCCTCCTCGGTGCATCCCATCACAGGCTTCATACTTTCTCACCACTGCTGTACATCATGGCACAGCTGGCCTCGTCTTTTTCTGATGACACTTTCGCATGAGCACGCAATATTGGATATCGACACGCAGTGCCCGCCGAGGTCAATAGGGCGTAGGTGCTGACTGATGGACATGCCCCACAGTCGACAGAGCTCCAGCTTAGGGCGCAGATGACACGAAGGGAGCAACCAGATAGCACTGTCAATGTCAAAAATTGCACGTGGTGTCAGCAGAAATGTCCACTTTGAAATGCTCTGTTTCCGAAAGTGAGGAGAGGTCTTTGTTTTCCGCGATGCATCTTCGGCTTCGAAGCGCGAAGAAAGTGCACAAACGCACCTTCCTGCTGCCGGTGGCAGGTGGCACCCTCCTGTCCCGCCAGGCTTTGACAGCACGCAACTGCGCAAACCGATGCAACCCCTCACAGAAAAGCCCCGGACCGAGACCACAGCATCTTTCATTCCACGAGCGGCAACATTGTCTCGCGCTCCCGCGACACAGGCGTCGCGCAGAGACAGATCTTCAGGGTCCAAGGCACAACGAAGCAAGACGGGTCACCAAAGTCAATAACGACATGTCCCGCCGAGTCACACTCCCTGGCGTGCAATCCGCCGCCGAGGCACTGCATCATCATTGTCACAGCTGAGGGTTCCGCAGAGTCAGAAGTGCAATTCTGGTCATTCATTCAAGCTAAAGGTACCTCCCACACTAAACCTCCCCTATATGGTATCTAGTAGTAAATGGTGTACAGCAGAAAACATGACGAAGGGAGTCATCTCTCAGGTGCGGTACGGCTCGACTCGTCGCCCAGCCAGCGCCATTCCCTACTCCCGTCCACGCACGCAACCTCCTAAAACGTGTGGTGGAGGATGCGCTTCCACGCCGGCATGGCGGCCAGCTTCTCGCGGTACGCGCGGATCTCGTCCCAGTCGAGCTCACGGCGGCCGGTGTCGACGTCCATCTGCGCAGTTCGCAGCCAGCCAGTGCGCTTCCACAGGTAGCCGCAGATCCAGAAGAAAATGACGACGGGGAAGGCGAGGTACTGCTTGAAGAAGCCCTCGACAGTGCCCATGCCCGACTTGCCGGGGGGAGCGGTGATGGCGGTGTAGAACTGGGCGATGAGGACCAGCACGCAGAGGATCAGGCCGAGCCACGAGCCGTAGACACCACCGATGGCCTTGAACGGGATCTCGTCAAGGGTGTGGCCGTGGTACTTCCACGCGTTGCGGAAGCGGATGTGCGCCAGGCAAATCGAGCCCCAGGTGAAGAGAGCAGCCAGGCCGGACAAGGCAAGCAGCCAGTCGAAGACGACAGGGCCCTGGGCGTTAAGGTTGACAAAGGCCAGCAGACCGAAAACGATGATGACGAGGACCGAGGGGAGGGGACGGCCCGACTTGTCAATGTAGGTGAAGAGCTTGGGCGCATAACCTTCCTGGGCAAGAGCCGTCAGGGTTCGCGAGCCGCCATAAACACCGGAGACGCCGATGGACAGCACGGACACCAGGATGACGAGGTTCATGAAGTGGTCGAAGCCCTTGAGGCCGGCGTACTTGCCAACCAGAACGAAAGGAGAGGCCTTGACATCGGCATAGGCGCTCTCGGACAGCAGCGCAGGGTCGTTGCTGTCGATGAGAAGGCCGACGAAGAAGAGACCGAGGATATAGAAGACGGTGATACGCCAGAAGACCTGCTTGATAGCACCAGGCATCGACTTGGCGGGGTTGCTCGTCTCGGCAGCTGCGAGACCGACCAGTTCGGTTCCGGAGAAGGAGAAGGCAGCCGTGACGAAGACGGAGCAGAAGCCCTTAAAGCCGTTCTTGAAGGCGCCGGGGTCATACCAGTAGCGGGCACCCCAGTACTCGTCATAACGGCCGCCCTTGGGGCCACCGCCGCAAACGAGAACGAGCGAGATGATCATGAAGATGACGGTCGCAGCCAGCTTGAAGACCGACGCCCAGAACTCCTCTTCGGCGTAGCCAAGAGCGCCAAAGATATTGATGACGAGAATAGCGAGGAGGAAGATTGCGATCCATACACCGACGGATATATCTTGGTTCCAGTATTCGATTGTCAGACCGCAAACTGTCAGTTCGAGTGGTAAAACAACGGCCCACTGGAAGACATAGTTCCAGCCCATGGCGAAGCCCCACGACGGGTCGATGAAGCGGGTCGAATAGGTATAGAAACCACCAGAGACGGGATACATGACAGCGAGTTCACCGAGAGCGTACACTAAGAGGACACGCGATTAGCCACATGCCAGCCAAGATTGAGGAGTGCCTCGCCAACTCACCGACGTTGAACATCATGATGCCGATGATCAAAAAGTCGACAAACAGAGTACCAGGGCCCTGGAAGTCGTGTCAGCTCGGAGAAACAAGAAACTCGAATGCGATCAAGGAAGACTTACACCCTTGCTCAGGGCACCACCGGAGCCGACGAAGAAACCAGCACCAATGGAACCGCCAATGGCGATCATGTGCAGATGGCGCGCCTTCATGGGGCGCTCCAGCTCAATGTGGCCGGTGCCATAGTGCTGCTTCTTGAAAGACTCGGCGTTGAGGCCATTGCGCGTGAACCAGTTGGGGTGGCGCTCGACGACGGTGTCCTTGGGAATGACGGTGCTGGTGCCTTCATAGGTGGCACCATTGCCACCCTTTTCGTTGGCGAAGCTCTCCTCCTTGGACATGGTGAAGTGCCTTTACAGCGACCACGCTGAAGGATCTCTGCGGTGTGTGACACGCAAGAGAAGGAGAGGAAGGGAAAGGAAAGAGAAAGGGTATTGAAGAGTGAAGAGTGGAATGCAGAGAACGGAAGGTCTCCCTGCAAGCTGAGGATGGGAAATCGACCCTTCTTAAGCCGGGGGGAAATGCTTCTGGAAGGACAGTGATGGCTTGCCTTCTCCTGGGAGAGGGGAACTGGGAAGGGTGGGTGGCCGAGAACTAGTGCATGGAGGAAGGGGGGGTGTGCGACGTTTGGCAGATCAAGGTCGGTTGCACCAACAGGAGTGCTTGCTGGCCAGATTGGATAGGATGGTCTGGGTCTGGGGTGGCTGAACGACGGCAACGGCGACGAGCGAGAGGGTGTGATTAGGAGGAGGGGGGGAGCGTGAAGGAGGTGCCCGGCGGAATCGAGGAACAACGGACGATGCCTCAGACACCGAGGAAGGTTTTCATCGAGGCGCACGAAGCAGCAAGATTCCGCATCACTTTCTCGAAAAGGTGCACATCGTGGCGAAAACAGGACGAGATCCCTTTCGCCTCCAATTTGCCATTGAGTAGATGGCTGACACCATACGAAACAGCACGCGCCTCTTGCGAAAGACACACGCGAACATGAGGACGAAGGCACCGCCACGATCGCCAGCAGCTTCCCCCGGCTGGCTCCTGGGATGGAGGCAACGCTGCTTGGCCTGGTCGCGCAACGATAGAGCGCAACAACACGCGAAGCTGGGACATGTGCGTGCGGCAAGGGGGTGCGTCAAGGAATAACCCGTCGACTGACTGACTTGCGTGACAGATGGCCAGACGCTCACGCTGCCAGACGGCCCCGGCACCAGGACTGGGTCCAGACAAGAAGGAAGCAAGGCCCCAAAAGCAAGCCCGGCGGGCATCATCCTGCACGACAGGGCTCGACCTCGACACACGGGTGTGCGGTGGATTAGCGCGGATGAGGGGAAGAGAGCCACCAGGGAGCCTGTGCGACAAGGTGAGTTGACTCGCGAAGGGTGCGTGTCGTTGGCCCAGACCAGGCCAGCGATAGAAACCCATGTGCCGCGAGCCCACCCGCATTGCCTTGCGTTAGGACGATAGCATTATCTGCCACTAAAAAAGGTTAATTAAAGAGCAGTCTGTGGGATCTTCATCGCCAGCGAGCCACTGGCGCAGCTGGCGGGCCCCTTGTCTGGAAACGGATCCGTCGCCCGCACTTGGGGGCGCCACGGGCACCCGAGCACCATCCCCACTCCCTTGCCAGGCCTGGTTGCCAGGCCCGCGGTGGCCCCGAGCTGCCTGTGTCTTGGGTGCCATCATCGTGGCTCGTGCTGGGGGGGACGATGACAGCGACGGCACCGTCACCGCGGCTGCCGAGTCGGTGAAGGCCCTGAAGGGGAGGAGGACGCTGCATGAGCCGATCCAGGCAGTCGTCGCGGCATGCGTCCACGCGGCGACGCCCAACAACAGATGACAGACAGGCAGGCAGGCAGGCAGCAAGCGGGCGGGAAGGGGTCCAGTTCACGCAACTGCATCGGGCAGTTGGCAGAGGCCGCGGCACGGCAACCTGGAAGTCAGGCCGGACAGGGCTGCGGACTGGTGCCAACAGCCTGGACGTGATGCTTGGGTCGCGACCAATAGCGGCCGCGCCGTATGCGGGCAAGTCGGGCAGTTGGAAGCCAAGCATCCAAGGTCACCTCAATGGGGATCTGGGGCCGTCCTTGGGGGACGTTCCCCCTCAGGATACCCCAATCAGCCACCGTAACGGCATCCAGGATCCATGGCATCCACGCCATCATGGGCTGGTCACCGGGGGCGAGACACAACAGAACAGGTGGGCACCGCGCGCGCAGCACGAGCCAAGCAGTATCAGCCCCGCCCCTCCTCCTCCACCACCGGAGCAGCCAGACAGCGCGATCCTGTGGTTCTTCCCCTCCCCCAGCCTGCCTCCACTAATCCGTTGATTTTAGTGCGTCTGGGCCAGCCCACCGTGCCCACCATATCCACTACGGGCAGTGGGAACAAAACCTCCAGGCGCAGGAGGCGCTCGGCGGCCAGAGGCAGCCCGTCGAACGTCAGAGCAGGGCAACCTCAGCGGGCGCGTCTACATTGTGTCTCGAGACGAGGCTGCGGACATCGTGGTTAACCGCCCCGCTGATGCCGTGTCCAGATGGCGTGCGGCTGTGCTGGGGAGTCCCATGATGACATGCGGCTGGCTGGTTTGAGGCCTGATAATCGTCACGCGTAGTGGACGGCAGCTGTCGCCAAGGCAGTGGAGCATCCTCTGGGGGCGTCAATTGTCTCTCGGCGCTGCCCATGTTTGTGGTCTCTGAGTAATCGCCGTCAGCGTCCATACAAGGAATGCATGCGCGAGGAGGTACTTGTAAGGTAGGCACCTCAGGTTGCAGCAGCACGCCTGATGGCGTACGGCCGGCTGCCTTGGCATCACTGGTGCTTACGGCTTCGCCATGGGAAGGATACAGAGCAGCTCGGGGCACGATGGTGCTCTTGTTGCTGCAGCGCCGGGACACTGTTGCAGGCCAGCACGTGTCGGGTCTTGCACTCCCGCAGCGTTGTGAGACAGCGGCACGGCTGGTTCCCGCCCCGGTGTCCGGGCCATCAATCGCTCGGCGCGGGGCATGAGTGATGCTACCTAGAATAACTCAACAGTGCAACATCGCAACTGCACTCAGTATCTCAGGGTGCGACGAGGACAGTACCTAGCTAAAGGCGAGGCAGCTCTGCGTCAGTGCCAGACTTCAGCCGGCAGATGGCCCGTCGGGGGTCAGGGATGCGCTGGAATTAAGCTACGCGCGCAGGATGTAAGCGTGACGGGAGCTACCTGCCAGCGCTGTGCCTATCACTGGGGGCTCTGCATGTTGCGCCGCGCTGCTGCGCAGCAGTGCAGGAGCACCTGCCTGCTTTGCCGGCCTGCAGTCTTGGGCCTGGGCGCGCTTGCTCCGTCAATCCACGCTTCTGAACCGTAAACTTAATTCCTCAACCTGCATTGGGCCGGCCCCCAGCGCGCCTGCCTCGATAGCCCGGTAAATAATAACTACCTTGTAGCCCAACAGACGCGACAGCAGGGAAGGTACGTCCGCGCTGACCAGTCGTCGTCCACCGTCTCAGTCAAGTCGGGTTAGCACAGGCACTGCACCTGCCCTCAGGTTGAATATCCACCGTCTTACGAAGTAGTTCCTTCCCTCAGTTGAGCCTGCTGTGCGGCACAGCTCGCGATGAGGCAGGAGGACCCTGGCATTTGGCATGCGCGGGCTGGCAAGGGCTGGCATGGCTGCCGTCAGAAGCGAGCAAAGGTTCCCAGCCACTGCCAGCAAGGTTGCCGCCCAATGGAAGCCGTCAAGCTCCATCCATCCAGGCCCCGGGTGATGAGGACGATGGCAGCATCCCTGCGTCTGCGTCTGCGCGGGCGCGAATGCAGACACGGAGATCAATCCACCCATCCATCTGCGAACGTTGTGTCGCACTCCGTACGTGGGTGGTGCACCATACATGCGTACAGTACTTACACCCATTTCTTCCTCCAACTGGCACTTCCTCCCACAGCGGCAACGTCAACGATGCCGCCGCCTCCGCCGCCGCCTCGAACGACAGAAGCTCCAGAAGGTCGCCGACCGAGATGCCAGCCCGGACGTCACGTCGCGCCGTGTCGCCCGCCCAGGCGGTGCCGCCACCCCACGCAGCCACGGGGCGAAACGCAGGCGAAACGCAGATCGGGCCTCGCGCAAAGCGAATCTGCGAAACCCTTGGCGGCGCAAGGCGATTTGGAGGAAATTCCCGAGAACCTTGCCTCCTCCAGGATGCGGCGTTCTTGGTTCCGCCGTCAAGCCTCGCAAGCCTCCCAGAAGCAAGCAAGCCTCGCAAGCCTTCCCATGACCCCCGGACGCCGCCCCGCGCTCCAAGCCTGGCTTGTCCGGGGCTGCCCACGCTTCGATTTGCCTCCCTCGCGCGCACACTGGACGCCATCAAACGCCGCCGCCACCACAGCAAGGCCGCCCACCACCACCACCGTCGTCAGGTTTTGATCACTGCCGCACGCTTGGCTTGATGGCGCACGCTCTCCCTCGCCGCCCAACCTTCATCCGAGATGCGACGCCCTCTCGGCCGCGTCTATCCATCCTCGACCGTTCCGCTTCATGCGGAACCCGGACGCTGCCCTCCCGCGCGTCCTTTGCGCATCCAGTCGTGTGGTTCAGGCACACCTCAGTGACCTCACCCTTCAGCACTGGCCAGGTTCCCCCTGGCACACCGCCGCGCATGCCACGACACCATCTTGCGGCAGCGCGCTCTCGTAGCTTGCGGTCTGGGCCACTGTCGCAGTGCTGCTTCGTAGGCGCTACCAGCACGGCACGCTTGCGGGAAGCCGCTTGGCCTGGTCGGCTCCCTCACTTGCAGTGGCTCGATCGCATGTGAAAGGGAGGGTGCCAAGGTGAGGCTTGGCAAGCCTCCTGTCGTCAATGGAAGTCCAACGAGCCGCCCCCCCGTTGGTCGTCACTGGCCTGCGGCGTTTGGGTTGTTCGGGCGTGCTTCCATGCAGTTTTCCAGCGAGCTTCTTTGGCACACCTGCCCTTCCCGGCTGCCGCTTCTGCACCCTGGACCGCGGGTCATCTCGACGCCACCGTCCTTTGCTTGATTCTGCAAGTAGCCCCGGCGACCTTGACAAGGGGACGTCAAGCCACAAAGCCACTTCGTCGCAAACACGGTTTGGCTGCCACTGTCGCTACCAAAGTCGAACCACTGACGAAACAGGCTCACGCGAAGCTCCGGGGCGCACATACTGCTTGCCACATGTGCTCTGCTCACAGTTGACAGGTGGCACGACGTGAACCCTACCCTTGGAGCGCACAGATGCCCACGACACCGGATCATGACCCGTGGCCGGAATTTCGCCCACGGCAGCCACGGCAGCAGGAGCAACCACTCTCGTACGGCAGTCCTGCATGGACAGGGAGCTTGGACGTACTATTGTTCGCACGAGGACCACGTTCCGATGAGCCACCCAAGGCGGAAGCTGAGCGACCGAGCATGTGTCCATTACGAGCAGAATAGGTCCTTTCCCCTCCCTTTCCCAGGCCCTGGGACGCGGTCTGTAGTCGTAGTAAATGCAGTATCGCCTCACTCATCCCAACAACCCTATCTGGAAGCCAACGCAAATGATTTAACGCCGTGGCGCATCGAAAGCACCACGGGATCAAGAGTTCGGGCCACTGTATCCTATTTTTGCCTTCCGGGACGGGTGTGTCACGGCTGCCGGCTGATCAGCCTCGTCTACCGTTTCTCGATGGACGTGCGCTGGCACAGACCGAGGAAACTGACGAGGGTTGAGCGCCTCGCTGTACGCCGCCGGCCGTCCCGGTTAACCGAGGATGCCATGGGCAGCCAAGGATCCTGGCCCAAATCGTTTGGGCACGAGCAGCAACCACACCCCCAGGCTCCCGTCGCACCAGACTCCCACGGCAAGCGAACGCGCCGCCCCTGGCTGACTGACCACGCCCGGGTTTGTCCCGACCGTGATCCGAACTTCCGGTCGTTGGCGTCCTAGTTGCCTTTGAACAGACGCTCGTTGAAGACCATTGCCAGATATGTTGAGCGTTCGAGGCATTATCCTTGTCTGCATGCGCCACCGTTCCTCAGGTGTTGACGCTAGAATGTGATATTGACTTCCAGAAGCCGCGCGACCCGCATGAGACACTCGAGCCCGCGTAGTCCGGCTCTCATGCATGCTTGAACATCGCTGTACACATGATCGCATGGTCGAGCGAGGTGGCCTGTTGGCTGAACACGAGAAGCGTTATCTTGGGTCCAAGATGAGTGAAACTCCTTTCGCATGCTTTGTTCGACTCGGCTTTCTCATGCCAGTCGTGTACGTAGCAGCGTGTATTGTACTCCACTGTCAAGACTCGCAAAGGATTACTTCAAGCCACGACAGACAGCCGCCATGGTTGTCATGAGAGGGCGCAAGGTGCATCCTGATCCGCACAGCTGCGAGAGAATACAATATGCCAACGACTCAACCCTGCAAGTAGCGGAAGAGCATGGGGCGCTTTGAGGTCCGAGAACCTCCTTGCAACGGACCAGGATCCATATCCAGCCTCTTGCGATCCGCAGTGTTGGGGCAAATCATAGTGGTCTGACTGACGTTGTGAGTGGCGCCAGGATCGCCCGTATCAGCCCTGTGGATAAGTAATCTACGTGTGCGTGATGCGTTGGTAAGGTGAGTGAACTGGCCATCTCGGGCGCAGGTGTTGGTGGTGGTGCATCCTGAGCTGAGGCTGCGTGTTGCGGGTCGGGCGGTGCATCGCGCCTGGCGGCAAAGCTGTGCTGTGTCTGATAGGGACATGGCTGTTGTCCTTGACGGCACCTTCAGGATCCCTCGCCACGACGTGTTTCGCGCGCGGCTGATGCTGCGGGTGCCTTTACCCGGGGCGCATTGCACCTGTCTGTCATCCATGCGGAGCTGGTGGCTTCGGCAATCCGGCTACCCATGAATCAACCTTTGCACGTCAACCCCGCACAGAATCTGGGGAACGCGGAGGAGTCGGTGAGCAAGCCACGCCGACTCCAGCAACGAACTTCGTTGAGCTCAAAGGAAGTGGAAATGGTCGTGCCGGCAGACCGTTCACACCAGCGTTGTCAGGACACGGCCATCGGCCTCGGGCGACATCTTTGTACGTAACGTTCTAGAAGGTGGCTTCCACTGACGCCAGGTGGTGCGGGGAGCATGGCTCAACAATCTGGCACCATGCCGTATGCGTGTTAGGGGCGCGCCGACGTTCGCGGGGGCGGCAAAATCAAGCATGGGAGGCCCTTGGACCGTGGAGGGGGCAGGACGCAAGGGTCGAGAGCGGAACGACGGATGTGGAGATTGGGGGACGCCAGGAGACTCGGACTGGCCGACCGGGGGGGCGTGGCAAACGGCGACCAACCAGCCCAGCCCGGCGCTCGCAAACCCGTCCTGTAGTCGTACCCTTCTCGGGCGACAGAGGATGGGTCCAGGACAAGACGCCGGCTGCAGCTCTGGGGCACGAGACGCCTCAGCTCGACCCCCCGGTGGGCACGCGATGTCGTCCTTTCCCGCGCGTCGACGGGGGGGACATGAGTCGCGACAGCCGTGGAGCGGTTCAGCACTGGATGACACTACCACCATTACAGTTCACCGTACTGGACAGTACGGCATCGCCTCCAGCGCCAGCGGTCGACGAACGAGAGGAGCTTCAGCCGACAAGCAGTTGGGCCAGAGGGTCTTGGCACGCGACCCGAGGGGGGCTCATCTGCCGCTGGAGAAAACTGATGTGCATGCGAGCGAGCTGTGTTGACGCGATGCCCGACAGCTGATAGCCGAGATATTGCAGCGACGGCGGAGCCAGAATGCGGCCCCAGCGCTGGCCTCCCGCGTCGGATCGAGGCCGGCGGGAGGGGGCAGCCAGGCTGAGCGCGCTCACGGGACCTGACCATGTTGGTCACCGTGGTGAGGCTGGATCTTGTTGGGCACGGCGATGCCGGCAATCGCGGTTAGACGACGGCCGGCCTGGCATCTGAAGACATCCCGGACAGCAATGCAGCGCAATATCATGTGCGATACTCTGGGCTGCGACGAGCGTCAAGACTCGTGGCATCGGACGCGCCGTCTTCAAGCGCCCGTATCTCGACCCCATTGCCAAGCGACGCCTGCATACGTATCTGGGACCAGCACCGTTAGTGGGCCTGACGAAACTTGCTGCGTTTACCCGCGGCGAGGCAATCGCACCATATCTTGACAGTCGGGTGGTTGGTCGCTGCGAGTCACCGAGGGAAGCTGTTGTCAACTCAAGCGATCCTCGGGCACACCGACGGTCGCAACGATGGAGCGTGTTGGTGGTGAGATGCCAACGAGCGAGTGACAGGCGCAGCTGCGATGCTGACGGCTGGGCGTGATGCCCGATTCGGCCGAGCTGACGACAGCAACACGCACTGCGCACCCTCGGCGCATGTAACCGTGGCAGCCAGTCTGGTTCGCGGGGTCGGCATCATCGCCATCGTCAAGCAGTTGGTCCGCATTTTTGGACGTTGATTTCGGCAGCTCACTACAGACGCAGACAACTTGTCACCTCCTCGTTCTCGCTGCTGTAGGGATTGCATCATCGACGACCGTCTCAATTCGTGACGGGTATCCATTACCACTCTATCTGCCCGGCTATCTCGAACTGCTCCACCCGTCCGAATCTGGGCTCCGTCGCCGGAATTGAGACCCATCAACGGGTGCATCAGAAACCGCTCGCCACGATTAGCTCGCCTCCACTGCTATCTCGATTCTCGACGGGCCCGGTCCACAGATACAGCACCCGCGCGACGTTGACTCCCGAGCCTCTTCGTAAGGACACCCCTTGAAGGCTCCGCTTAGTCGCCATCATGGGCAACCCTGACCGGCCGGCCGAGGCATCAGGCAGCCATGCGGCGACCAAGGTCCCAGACATGCCGCAGAGGGCCATGTATCAGCAAACAGTGCCTATTGCCGTCGAAGGCGGCGACGGCGCAGGCGACCTCGGCGACATGCCGCCTTCGTACGAAGAGGCGGCGTCGGGCTCCGGCCGGACCGCCGGCGCAGGTGCCGGCTCCGGCTCGGGGCCAACGACCGTGCGCGCCGGGAGCACGGCGGCAGGATCCGACCACGGGCAGTGTAGCCAGCACCGAGCCGAGGCCCCGGCGAGCAGGGCCAGCAGCGTGGATGCCGACGCAGATGATGCCTTGCTCGGCAACTCGTCAGTTCCGGGCCAACGGCATCGGTCGCATGATCAGCAGCCGAAACCCACTGACGACGCGGCGGCCAGCGAGATCGATATCAGTGGGTACAAGCCCACCGATCCCATGAGATGGGACCTGCGCGAGCGCAACGGCGACTGGAACAAGATGGATGGCGTGCCCGGCTGCTGCGTGTCGTCTTCCGGCGGGTGTTGCTTCTCGTCGCGCGGCGGCTGCTGCTTCTCTGACCGGGGAGGCTGCTGCTTTTCCGACCGCGAGGGGTGCTTCTTCTCGGACCGCGGAGGCTGTTTCTTCTCCGACACGGCGGGTTGTTTCTTTAGCAGCGGCGGGGCGTGCTGCTGCAGTGATCACGTCGAAAGGGGGCCTGCGTCTTCCGCGTGAGCGATGGAGGTTGTGCACGACGGGACGATGGAGCTTTGGTCTTCAATAGTCCAATCATAGGGATGCTGGGACAGTGGCGTTGACGGCGAAATGCCGTTATTGCTTTAGCTATATATCAGGGACATTCCCAGCCAGGAAAGTGCTGGCGACCCATGGTTTGCCATAGTTCATCCTCATAATATTAACAGGTTCACGTACAGACTTGAAGTTGAATCGTGGACTTGTGTGCCTCGTGCAACACACCTCTGTGGCCCCTGAAAGCGTCCCAGCAACACATATATACACCAACTCCTTGAAAGGAACAAGTAATCTGCCAATAGAGTGCCCGTACAAGGCGGAGATCCACTAACCGCGACACATCATTCACTTCTCGTAAAAACCGCGCCCGTCCAACGTAGCCCCTCAGTCCCATCCGACCCAGGGCGTGCCGAGGACGCGGCCCTTGTCGTCGAAGCGGATGCCCTCGGCGCGAAGCAGGCGCCTCTTCTCGTCGAGGGTGATGCCCTCGCCGTCGCGCGGCCACTTGCCCTTGAAGCCGCCGAGGGACATGCCGGTGGCGACGACGCGGTGACAGGGCACCGCGGGGGCGAAGGGGTTGCGGCGAAGGGCGTTGCCGACGGCGCGGGGCGACGAGCCCAGGTGTGCGGATAGGTGGCCGTAGGTCGTGACGCGGCCGCGGGGGATGCCGCAGAGGGCGGCCCAGACGCGCTTCTCGAAGGGGGTGCGCGAGGAGGCGGCGATGAGGGCGAGTTGCGGCTGCATCTGCTGCTGCTGCTGCTCCAGTGTCGTCCCCGCGCCGGTGCCGGTGCCGGCGGCTGCTGACGACGGCTGCACGGGCTCTGGTGTGGCCGCGGTCGACGGAGGTGACGGGGGGATTGGGGGTGGCGCGGCCTTGCGCTTGGAGAGTCGAGGCGCCGACGGTGAAGTCGACGTTGAGGGGCGTTGTGTTGGTGATGTCTTGAGGGCTTTGCTGGGTGACGGGCCGGACGGCGCGGCGACGGCGGCGTCTTGGTGCTTGCGCTTTGTGCCGGCGGCCATGACGACGAGACGGCGGGGGACAGAGGGCAATACAGAGGTAAAGAGGGGGTTGCTTCCTGCCGCCTGGCCACTCAGTTTGACGTGTCGTCGAGAAGCCCGGGTACGTCGCGGAGGCTTTGATCGGGGTCCGGAGATGATAGTGTGGTTGGAAGTAGCAGATCTCTTCAGATCTACAAATACAAGCCAGAAAGGGGGTGATGCAAGGAACCGAACACGAAGTAATGGACAAAGGAGGCTTGGAATCGATACCGGACGGAGCTTTCGAAGATGGAGAGGGAAGTAAGTGGACGACGTGGGCAAGGGGAAGCGTGATATATATGCGTGAGTGCGCGCCCGTTTTTTTGGCTGTTGCGCGCAAAGTGGAAGAGAGCTCTTGCTCGTTTCCTCGGGCGTCCTGAATCTTTTCACGGTCGTCGCGCGGGGGGGCGGCAAAGGGCGCGTGTGACGCACGATTAAGTGAGACGCGCCCACATCGAGAGCAACACCCAAACGGCGGCCTGGCAGATTCGCCTGGCTGACGCCAGGTCACGTGCCTCCACGAGTCGCCACTTTGGTGCCGTGAGCGCAGTAACCACCTCAGGCAAGCTCTCGTCCACTCCCGTCGACACGCGCGAAAATGGAACGTAAGAGGTGAGTAATACTCTCAAAGAAAGAGAAGAGAAGGCAGTGCCTGGCTGCCTGGCTGCCTGGCTGGCCTGTGACTCGAATTGTCCGCTATCCATTCAAGGAAGCACCACGGCTAGATGCCTAGTAGGTAGGTGTATAGGTACACTATGCGTCGCGTTATGTACAAACGGAGTGGAAGGCCTAGCAGGCAAAGGGGACCAACGCCCGGATATGCGTCGCATCATGATGCCGCCATTGCTGTCGCCGGCTATCGTGTTTTCTTCTTTCCTTCGATGATCTTTGCTTTGCGAACGTCAGGCTGCAATGATCCCGTAACCCTCAATGTGTGAAATGCAGTACTTCGCTCTCGTCATTCAATACCCCTCGGGTGGGCTCCTTCGCATGCTCGACTGGTGGATCGTCCTGCCGGCGGCGGTGGCGTCCATGAGATGTTGCTCTTGAACTCAAAGCATCGTCAAGGAACTGCAGTCTATATCTCATACCATGAACGATTCGCCGCAACCGCATTGCTCCTCTGTGCCATGTACCGTCAGCATCTTCCTTTGTTTTACTTACCCCTCGCAATACCGGAGGCGACTGCCACGGGGTGGACCGATGAACGGGGGGGTGCAACGTACTTATGTTGGGGTTCCTAAAGACGAAGCGCTGGTTGAGCTTGTCCTCGGCCCAGTCCATCTCGCTGCCAATGATGCTGAAGAGGGCCTTGCTGTCGATGAGCACCTTGACGCCATCCTGCTCGACTGCCTCGTCAAAGGCGCCCGGCTTGTCCACGTATTCGAGGTGGTACGCCAGCCCGCTGCAGCCGCGGTTTCGCACCCCAACCTTGATGAGCTTGGGGTCCGGCTGGTCCAGCATCGTGCGCAGCTGCTCCACGGCCGCAGGCGTGAGCTTCATGGCGGCCTTGCGCGCCCGCAGCTTAGGCCGCGCCCGCGCCGGCTTGGGGGCCTTTGCCGGCTGTTGTGCTGTTGTGCTACTAGTGCTCGGGCTCGTGCTGGTGGTCTTTTCGCTGGAGGTACTCGGACTCGTGCTCGGACTTGCGCTTGCGCTTGAGGAAGCGGAGGCGGCGCTGACGTCGCCGGGCTGTGAGTTCTTGGGCGGCGCTGCGGGTTTGGCCGCGGCGGGGTGCGCCGCCGGAGAGGCGGCCTCCTCCTGCTGCTCGGGGATGCCGCTCGGCCGTGACGGCGGCGTCGTCGGCGGGCGCGTCTCGTGTACCCGCGGGAGGGGCTCGGGCTGTGTGATGGGCGTCTCGTGAATGTCGGCGCCGCGAGGCGAGGGCGAGGCGCCCGTCGGGAGCGAGTAGGAGTGGTAAGCGGCGACCAGTCTCGGCGCCGACAAGGACGACCGAAGCGCGCACCGGCTGTGGCGCAGGGCGGCTCGGGCCAGGCAGAGAGATGCGTTCATCGTGGTATCATGGGGAGGCGGCCAGTCGGAGTGTGATGTGATGCAGGAAAACAAGGCGCATCGCTGGGGAAAGAATTCGAGGTTGGCGACGGGGGGGGATGATGGATGCGTCAGGCGATTTCAAAGCCGGTTCGGGGCCCGGGAATTGGCAGTGGCGGGACGCGGCAAAATGGGGCCATCTGGAGTGAGAGGGTTCGGCTTTCCAGGCGGGAACTCGCCCTGTGCCGGTATTGGCCGGGCCAATCAGCGGCCTGGAATTGCTAAGCTGCGGGTAGCTGTGCTTCTGCTGTTGCTGCGGTTTCGGAGGGACATTCAAGTCTAGGACACCTGAGTGTTGAATCCGACAGTTGATTTTTCTCCTGACTACGGCTGCAGTGCACCGAGACAACGTCCAGCTCCCTACGTGGTCTGGTGCCTTGGTCGCGATGCTGGCGCTGGTGCCCCGAGCTGGCCTACCCTAGAGCGTGATCCTGCCCCCCGTGAACACGAGCCACGGATATTTATACCAGCGACAAATTAGACTTTCGGCTTCCGCAGACGACTCGGGAATTAAATGCCAATCGTTCTGCATGGAGACCACGCGAGACGGTTGTCGTGTTTCGTTCTGCCGATCAACATCTGACCTGAGGCATTGTGTGCAGGAGTCTTTGAACCCGATGTGTAACACTACCTATGCGCGCGCAAGAACCTTCTGTCAACCATGTCACCCAGGCTGCGCCCAGGAGAGTCAGTACATGCGAGTAATTAATCCCGGATTTGTGAAGGCCGCCTTCCTTTAGACTGGACTGCACTGATAAATGACGATTGGGCATCCTGGCTGCACAGTGGCCGCGCGATGCACACACTACTCACGTCAACAACGGGTCTCGAGTGAAACGAAGCTCCAGTATGTCCTTGCCACATTTGCAATTGAAATGTGCGCGGAAGTATAGCACCGTCTTTAGTCCCTGCATCCAACGGCAGCTTGCTTGAAGCCGTCAGAGACACAGTTCAGGGTATCAATACACACTGTGTGTTTGCTACCTTGCCAGGTCATACAGTGCCAATTACGCCATAATGGCACAGTTGGCCGCGACACCGTGGCCCGCCAGTGACAGACAGCCAGGCACCACACGACATCCCACATCGCCAGCGGTGCAGCCCAGGGTCCCGCGCGCGCCTCGCAACCTCATCCCATGGAGGCGTCACCGCTCACGCGTCAGCCTCCCCCCGAGGTCTTTACCCCGAAGATAGTCGAGCTGTACTCTTCTCTCCTCAAGGTTTGTCCACCACGGCCCCGCCCCGCCCTGCCCCTGAAACTCGCGAGCTAACACGACGACTCCCAAGGTGAGGCGCATTCTGACCACGGCCGGCAACACCACCCCGACCCCGAATCCGGAACGAGACGCTGAGTAACGGCCCAGGACGATGAATATGCAGAAAAGTCCGAGGGCTTCTGGAGGGAGTTTTTCCTCTTGCGGCCCGACCGCGCGACGCTCCGAACCATCCTCTCCGACTTATCACCCGCCGACGTCCTCCACCTAGAGCCCCAGACAAGGGACCTCTTCGCCCGAGCCATTGATGCCGTCAAGACCGGTCAGGGCCGCGCGCCCTTGCATGCCCTCGATGTGCGACCGTCACCTTCGCTGCGACCCCACACGAGGCAGACATGCCGCTGACACGGAGTAGACTCTGACCATTTACCTCTCCTGCCTCCTGTCCAAGAAATATCCGCACCCGAGCTCCGACATCATAAACGTCTTGGCGGGCCTCGACCACATCGACCCCATATTCTCCGACTTTGTAGGGACACTGGATGGGATCATACGAAATGAGAAAGACTGTGAGTGTCCGCGGGGCGGTGGCGAAGGTTGTTGGCATGTGATGCTAATCGCTTCTGGTACTGGCAGTGGATCTACGACATCGCGCAGTCGAGGTCATATTGGCCGTCACAGCGGGCGCGTATCAGACGACGCTGCTCACATACATGATTCAGAGAGACCTCTTCCCATCAGTTATGAAGGTAGTGCCCGCTACACGGAGGTTCCTCCATTTTGTTCCGGCTAGGCTGACTGCGACGCAGTTCGTTCAAGAGTCAGAAACCCCTGGCCAGGTCCTCGAACCCTTCACACTTCTCGGTCTGTTGGCAAATTACAATAAGTTTGAGTTTCAGAACCCGTATCAGCTGCGGCTAAACGACTTTGTCAACGAGTCGACCATCCAGAGGGTGATCGAGTGCGTCGGATACACGTGCCAGGCCCTGCGATCCGACTACATCGACATTCAAGATGATCTCCCGGAAGGCTGGACCTTCAGCAACACCCTCAACATGATTGGCCTCGGCGCAATCGTACCCGGGCCAAAACCAGAGCGAAAACCGGTTTATGATGCAGAAACCGCAAAGCACATGCTCGCCGCATTGTGAGTGAGCCTTTGGGCCTCCTGGCTGGCTGCCGCTGACAAGAATCAGACCAGGCGAGAATGCGGCCATCCTCTTGGCCACGTATGACTTTTGTCATGCAAACAAGCTGTTCTGCTTTAATCTCGTCACGATGCCGGGCGACAAGACAAAGGAGCGTCCGATTGCTAGCTTCCTCTCCCTCACGTCCTACCTGCTGCAACACGCCCACCTCTCGCATCGGGCAACCTACTACGCCCACCTGAACCTCATGGTGCTTCGGCTCGTCGTCGAGGACCCCGTCATTTGCAAGAGGATATGCAGCGACGAGTCCAAGGTCCCTGTGCGTCTGTGCCGGCAGCGACAGCCTTTCTTGCCGCTTGTCAAGGGGGAACGAGTCCTTGCTACGTGCCTCCTCGATACGATGATTGATGGCATCAACCACAACCTGAGGCGGCGCTTGGATGTCAGCCTCTACACCCTATGCGTGGGCATCATACTTCGATTGGTATCCTACCTGTCTCGTTCGAGGACGCGTCTCGTGTACCACTGGTCAGAGTTCTTCCGGTCATTGCTGTCGCTGATACGCTTCCTCACGACGTATACCGCTGATTTGAAGGACCTGCCGCACATCGAGATCCTCCTGGACCACATCGTCAACCTCGTCGCGTTGTCACTGTCCGCCGGCGAGGCGTTCCTACCCACGCCCGCAGCCTACGATGACCTCTTCTACAAGGTCGTGGAGTCGGGTGATGTGCTCACAAAGTTCAAAGAGAATTACGGGCTTAAGAACCGCAAGAGTAACTCTATTGACACGCTCATAAGCGTGAGCACGCACTACAAGCAGATGCTAACCGAGGGAGGGAGCTCCGCGAAGAGGAAGAAGCCCAGCAGCCTCACGACGCATGAGGTCACGGAGATTATCAAGCAGGGCTACGAGACGCTGAGCATTCAAGCCAAGGAGGGGCTTGACACCTGGGACAGGTTCCGAGAGGCGGATGAGAGGACGCTGCTCAAGAAGATGGCCAGGGCATCCGTCGCAGACGTTCGCGTCATGGTCGAACGGCAGATTCGATGACCAAGTTGACAGGAGCGAGTCTGCCGAGACTACGCGGTGGTCTGCTCGAGACCTTGGCGGTCTTCTCTGCACCTCAGCAGCCACGGCGCCGTGTTTTGTTGCTTCCGCGAATGACGATGCCATGTGTCGCTTTGACGGGCGGGCATGCTGGGCTGCTTTTCGGGAGGTGGCGACAACACACCCACGACTTTGCATCGGCTGGCACGCTTGACTCTCGACTTCCTCTTCATGGGAGACAAGATGGTCAGGATGGACGTAAGCCGCCATCACTTCCCGCTATTGCAAGGTCTGGCGTGGTTTATGCCATCGTCCGTTACCGCTCGTGGTGCATCCGACCAGGGAACGTGTGGGCGCTGGCAAGGATACGCGAAAGCATGTACTCGTACATACAGGCAGCCTGGCCGCGATACTAGACATCATGACCACACGCTGATGTCTCTTGGAAGGGATCCCCAGCCGAGGAAGCAGCCAGAGAGGCCGCGCTGCTTTCTGCATTGGGCCGCTGACTCTCGCTCGGCCCAACGCCACAATAGAGACAGAAACGGCCAGACGCAGAATACCGTATTCGAAACAACAATCCCGGATTGCTTGAGTGGCCCGTGGTGTGCTCACTTCTGCATAACATTGTCTCAGGTCTGAGGCTGGGAGTGAGAGCGTGCGTTGATGATGCCATGGCATGACATGTCGTTCCGTGCCGTCCCAATGCCGCCATGCGCTAGTACTAGCGACGACGGATGTGAGAGGCAACGGGAAGAGGGACCAAGGCGAGGCAAACGGGCAACAGCGGGCGTGTCCGCAGCACGTACTCGTAAGGTAGTTGGCCCAATTGCTCGGCCCAACTGCTGGACGGAGAAGAAGGGGGGAGAGGAGGGGCGTGTCATTCGCCTTCTCCCGCAGGAGAGGGATCTACAATGAGAGACACCGGCTGCCGCAACTTTGCGCCGCGGGCGTCACGTCAGAGAGGCCACGTGCCGGGCAGCGCCGGCGGCGGACGGGTCGCGCCCTTGAGATCTACAAACCGAATTCCCGCATGGAAGCGTCGCAGGAAGCTGAACGGAGTTTGAGGAACATGAGAACATTTCGTGCGTTGTGTCAACGGGCTACAGCGCGCCTACAGCGCCGGCTACGGCGTGATTGTTTGCTGCAGGCCGCAAACTGCAGCGGACTGTGCAGTGGAAGCTACCTAGGCCGAGGTCGGCTGGCTTGGCCAGGGCCTGCGGCTCCATGTACTTGTACGAGTATGTAGGTACGGGGTGCGTTGTGCGAGCTTCACATGACGAGAAGGAGCTGTCGGCTTCGTCAACGGCTGGTGGTGCTGGTGGAGGCGCCGAGTTGTCTGTTGGAACCGACAGTCGGCGTTCTGCCGTTTGGTGGACAGGGGTGACCGACCCTCAATGGTGACACACGCCAGGCGCATTGGCCTCCCCATAGCTTAGCTCCCCCCCGCGCGGCTGGGCGCTGAACATTGTGCAGACTCGGCGTCGGTGATGCGACTCCCTCTCCCTCTCTCGTGCTTTGGATCTTTGGCCGCGCCCTTGGCGATTGGATCTTCCGGGCTGGAAGCCCCCGGCAACGATATCGCCCGGAACCCTTGCCTCGGGTGTACATGCTGGATTTATGTTCGTCGTACCTCACGCTCAGTCGGGGATGCCCGGCACATGAGATGAGATGACGGGCACGCTCGGTGGTGTGTCAACCACCAGGATGGAGAGCATCCAAAGACCGCAGCCACGGGCCAACACCGACCGCACCCCTGGCCCGGGGAAGAGGGCCGGACCTGATGAGGCACTGCCGGGACATCCCCGCCACCAGTCGACGACGCCTTTTGCACGGCATACTCGATTCGCCTTTTGCGGCGGTGCCAATGGCGCACCGCAGGCGTGGTCGGAGGCGGCCCATGCAGCTGCGTTGGCTTGACCTGGAAATGCACGCCAGGTCAGGGTTCTGCGAGGGCAGTCTGCCACAGAACTTCTCTGCGGCTGCTCCTCGACGCGCATGCCGCGTTGGTACTGTTGAATGGCGACCAGCGCAAGGACGGCCCCGGTGGTTCCCCGAGGCGATCAAAGAGGCAGCGATAACGTACGAGTGCCTGACGGAGCATGACCACCGAGCCTCCCTTAGAGCTTGCATGGAGCTCCGGAGACGCAGTCTTGCCGGGACAGGGATTCACCTGGGCTCGGTTGTTAGCCTCTGTCTCTGCATGGCGCGATCGCCCAGGACCGTCGGCCAACTGTCGGGCAAGGTGGGCAGGCGACCAAATCCAGGGCTCGCCGTCACCAGATTGAATCGAGGACTGTGGCAGAGGAGTGCCAAATTTGGGACTTCATGGGCTTCGCGTTTGCTCCGCTGGCCGTCGTCTAACCAGACAACGGGGATAGCTCACGGGCAGGATTGCTCCTCTTCGTATTTCGGCACCCCCCGTAGTGCGCGCGCGCGTGTCTCAGACTGATCTTCTGCACCGGTTTCCGAAGACGAGACGACAACCGTTCGAAGTTGCTTTTTCCCGTTCTCTGACAAGTGACAGCCGCGTGCCACGCGCAACGGCTCGACTCCCGTATGGACCCTTCGCCGCCGCCTGGCACCAGGGAGGCCGCAGCTCTTTGCTCCATGCGGAGCGTCGCGGCCCCGTTGCGTCGGCGCCGCCACTCTTTCCCGGTGGGCTGGACAGCCCTGGCTGCATTAGACTGCATTGCCCGTTGCCGCGGAAGTCTTGCGCGCACTCTGCAGGATGGCCGACCAAGTGGGGAACTGGGGTTCTTTTAATGTTAATGCGCGCAGACTGCGAGTCGTCACATTTCAAATCGTCTTGGAACGTGCCACTCCGATCCTGGCCAAGTTGAACGATGTGCCCTGCCTGGAAAACAGGCTGAGTTGTGCGGCGGGCAAAGAGTTTCCTAGGCCGGGGAAGGTCTGAACCGGGAGGCTGGTGTCGCGTCCACCACCAACCCCAGAAAGACGCCCTGGGGCGCGTCGGGATTGCCAATGCTCACGTCTGTGCGGGCCAGAGCCGTCTAGCCGACCGACCAGGCGCGCCTGGTTCATCAGGGAAATGCTGGCTCCAGTGTGGTGTGACATCGTCAGGGAAAGTGCACCGAAGGGTCGGCGATTAAGGCTGTACTTAGTACTCCGTCTAGGCGTTGATGATACGTAGTGAACCCAATGGATGCCGAGGTGGCCGGCTGGTCAGGACTCAGCATCAAGCGGTAATGTCCGAAGCAATCGACTTCTTGAATGTCCACCGCAGGCCCCCCCGACATTCGTGCCCATGGAGCAGGGGCTATACAATAACAGCGACAGGCTTCACACTGTGAGGCGCAAGTTGTCCCGAAGCATGGGGAAGGTACAGCGTGACCGACCGCTCACCATCTGCAGTCAGGGCGCGATTGAAAGTCGAGGTGATCTCGCGGCCGACAAGTGTTTGATTCGCATCGTCCTCAAGCGCGAGGAGCGGGACAGGCTACCGCCTCTAACAGTCGCTCGAGATCGAAGCCAGATAGGGAATGCGATGCTACTCTCCTGCAGCGTAAAGCCATCACATGGACTCCTGAGTACCGGACCCGGTATTGATTGGCACAGATCTGGTCTGGACCGTCAACCAGACGCCGGGGTTGCTGGGAGTCGTGGGTGCTGAAGCCATGCATAGTTTGGCTCGTCAATGCATCGAGCACCCGATACGGTTCCGCGGCGGGAGGAAGGACGATACGCTTCCCCCATGGTCATCCCTGACCCCTGCTGGCTCGAAAGTTGCGTGTTTTCTTGTGTCCGTTGAAGAGATCAGCACGGACCTCGTCACCTCATCATCGGGGACCACCACCCTCGTGAAGACGGTCCCCTGTCGTCCTGTGAGGCCTAAAATTGGGAAAGCATGTGTGCACTCTGGTGATCCCAAGACAGCATTTCGTGGATGCTAGTACAGTTCGACTTACCGCCGGCACTGAATGGTAATAATGCGGGGCTGCAGGATACCGGAACACGATAAAATATGCCGGCCCGTGTCAGACGACAGAAGCGAAGGAACCTGACCCAGGAGCCCAGGACTTTCATCGCATGAGCGTCGGACTCCTTCCAACTAGCCGGCAGATGGCGTCCGCATTAGTGTCCAGGGTGTTCCACGGTGATCCCTGCCCTGGGCCAGCCACCAAGCCTAGCCAGGCACGCCCGTGTCGTGTACGCAGATGCAGGTACACGCCGTGATACCTACCAAACAGGCGCTCCGACCAAGCACTTCTGCCAACGGATCAGGAATCATCTGCCCGCCTTGTAAAGCAGCCAGCAGAGCTCTTGATGTGCCACCATCTGGGGAGACTACGACTATTCAAAGGTCAGTCATCCAGCGCGCCACCTGCTGACTGTTGACTTTGCAGGTTGCTCACCTTCGGTATTCGGCGTCTCATGAACCTGTACCGCCAGTCGGGCAAGTTACAACGGGCTTTCGCCACTGATGCTCGTGATCCGCGGTAAAACATGCGAGCCCTTGATCAGTGCTATGAAGTCACATGCCAAGGGCTATTTGTCATGCCGCGGCGGCGCAGTCGACGAGGCGATGTTGATGCAGGCATTTGCGAATATTTCCCCTTCCGAAAACTGTCGTGTTGACAAATCCGTTCCTGAAGCTGGCTTGCCCGGGCCAAGGTGGTCGCGTGACGTTGGCGGACAGAACAGCAGGTCGGTTCAAATGTCGGTAAGTAGTTGGCGGAATCGGCGATAATTCTGCTTGGTGCGGTGCCAGCCTGGAATACTCGACGCCAAGGAACGCCAGCAGCTTCAGTACAAGGATGATTACCGAACAGCCATCTCTCCAGACGGGTTAGCTGAGGACTAGTGATTGTAGGGGCAAGCGCTTTTCAAGATGAAGTCGGGGTAAACACACCATGGCCAGAACATTCTCTGGTCTCCTCATCGTCGACTCAGCCCAATTACCCATGGCCGTTCGCGCCTCTTCGGCTCGTATTCCTACTAGTTGGCAACTTCGCCGACGTTTGAGTAAGCTTACGTGGAGGGTCGATGGCTGACTGGCATCCGGGTGCATGTGTATTCGTGGCCAACGTCGTCGGCTGTCGCTAACCGGCGTTCTGGCTACCGCTCCATATTGGTGGCGCGGCTGCTGATACCTTCGGAAGAGTAGTCGACGTTCAGGATCGGACTGCCTTTCCAAACCTTATGAGAGCATATCGGCGGATCAGAGTGGATGTTTTGTTGTTCGTAACACGAACAACATTAGTAGAGCCATCCCAGAGCGGGTTAGTCTTGCCAGTCACGACTAACTCTGATCCGCTGGGCCGTTCGCTGTCCTTCATTGGACGTTTTCAGCGAGCATCTTTGACGCAGAGAAGTCTTACACAGACGCAGAAGTAGCACAAGATACCGTGATCGGGAGTACATGCGTCAAGACTATGATGGAAGAGGAGCCCATGCAGAATCGAACCAAATTAACAGCCCTTGCTTGACGCTGCGGCGTCTGACCGTTGGTGAATGCTGGACATGGTTTCGTAAGCCGAGTAAGGCAAGACTCGGACATTGTTCGCGGCGTTGCGCATCTCTCGTCCCTCATTGCTGCTACTTGCTACAACGGAGGAATGCTGGCAAGGGATCTTGTGATAATGTGATAGACTTCTTTGAAAGGCAATGGTGGCGGTGCTGCTTTCTTGCTGTGCTGTTCTGTCAAGATTCTTGTGGGTTGTGGTCTGTTACAGTAAGCCGGGGCGGATCGACCCATCCCATGTAGGCCCGCTCATCACTCGCTTCGAGGACCTCGGGAAAGGCTTTCCACCCTTGTGGTCGGCGGCCAATGGAATCGCACGCCGATAACATTGAAGGCATCATCGTGCCCAGATACGTAGTTCTTTGGCCACCCATTATAGTTATGGCTGCGACGAATCGGGACTGTTCGAGGGTCTGCGCCAGCAAGGCAAATCTTGCGACGGCTCGCAGCCGGAGAAGATCCCACCAAAGCCTGCATGGCCAAATGCGACTGGCCATCGGCGGAGTTCGTATTGGAGAAATCGCGCAGACATGGACTACTGATTCGACTCCGGAGAACCTTCAGCGGTGCGGCGACCGGCAACGCAGTTGCTCGGTTTCTTCGCCACCAACGTTGCCGGGGGTGGGGGTAGGCCGTAACGGCTTCAACGGGTAAACCTGTTGGGTCCTCGAAATACACGGAAGACGACGCCGCCGCCAGAAATTCTGGAAGCGGACTGACGAGGCCCAAATTGGGCATGATTGCAGCGCCAACGCAAGCTTTTGCGTACGACACTGACTATTCCTCGGTATCGATCCCGATGCTTGGCTCAGAAGCTCAGCTTGCAGATAAGACTTGGTACGGATTCGTCGTGTTGCTCCTCTGTGTGTCTTCAAGCGCGAGCATCGAGGACAAAATCGAAGAGCCCTGGGTCCTGCGTTACATGGGCGGTGCATTAGCTGGCGGCCGAGTCTCGTGTGATGCAGAGATTTCGTCCCCTCAATATTTGCCGTTGTCAGTGACACTTATTGTGCCAGGCTTCGGGAACTTGGGAAATGTGATGGCAGGGGCCAAACCAGCCTGCAATCTGTGCCGACCACCCAGCTGGCAGGGGGCGGGTGCCCCATGATGGCGGGGCATGACCCGTGCCGCAGCGAATTGCGGAGGGACGGGAGCTTCGGCCGCACCCGCTAAGGACGCCATGGTCCGCGCGGACCAGGGAACGAGCTGCAGCCGCGTGCGGGCTGGGGTCTAAGTCTGCGTTCCCGCATGGAACTTGGTACAGATCGAGAGAACCCGTTGCTGTGATGTAAGAGCTTGGCTCGACGAGGCGGGCGTTGGATGCGTATGAGCGAGAAGGGAAAAGAGTAAAGACGTGGAGGAGACAGGATCGGATTACCGTCGACGTCTGTGCCCCAATTGTCGGCGACACATGTTGCGGCAGCCGTGGCAGCACGATGGCGGCCATGCAATGGAGCTGAGGACGTGTGCGGTGCCACGATCGGCAGTGTCTGCGCGTGGCACAGCCGGGACACGGGCCAGGGCAATGGGCGATGAGAGGACAGGTCCTGATGGGAGGCGGCGATGGAAGCGACGAAGACGGTGATGCGATGGCGGGATGACGCGATGGGAAGATTGAATGATGGACGAGATCCGTCGATGGTGTGACGACGTGTGTGACGGTTGTTCCTTCCCCTGCCGCAGGCCACCAGCTCAGGTTCCTTTCGGCAGGCGCTACCTCAGAGTCGGAGGGACAAGGCACGGAGCCGATGTACAGGTACCCTGCGCTAAGGTAAGGTACCTTAGTAGCTGGATCTGCCTTGTCCACGCGGGTGCGTGTGTGACGGACCATGAGCCTGGATGATCACAGCGCCTTGGGAAGACGTGACAACACCTGCATGAACCAGGGCCATCTCTGGTTCTCCGGCCATGCTTGCGCGAAGAACACACGGTTCGTCCAGTGACGACGCGCATCCGACGCAATCCGTCAACGAAATATGGTACCGCCGGGCTACACGCATCCCCTGCCGGTCCGCAATCCGGGGCGTGGATTGGCACGACTTACGAGCCTGGGTTGACATCGTCAGATGTCCACATCGCACTGCTGCGAGAACACCACACTGCACGCCCTCGACCAAGCGTCGCAACGCGGCACGACGCCCTGCCTCTCAAACGACGCCCGACCGCGTTCCCTTCTTCGGACCTATCGGTCAAGGGGCGGCACAAGCGGCCCAAGGCGCCAAGGGCTGTAATGCTGCGAAAAATCATGTCACACACACACGCAAGCCCGATCAGCATGCCCGAGGTGATGCTCCGTGGGTTGTTACTAGTCACAGATATACCCGCCCCAGGGGCAGGGACACGTGTTCCTGCTACTAT